TTGATTCACAGACCTCATCTTGGCTCTTGGCTCCTGAGAAACAACAGTGTGACTAAAGTTTTTTTTTTTTATAGACAGCTACAGCACTGCGCATAAAGAAGTTGCTCATGGTTTCAGTCCTAAATGGAAACATTTTGGCTTCCATTTTGGTCCCTGTTTTCCTATTCGTCCAGAAGTTGTCATCTTGCTTAACTTAACTACATACTTGTATCAAGTCTCAAGAGACTTCATTCCTTTAACCTAACAAAAGACAGAGAAAACTATTTCCAGAAAATCACTATGGATTCCAGTTAAGCACCCAAACACAGTTCTTAGAAGCTTTCAGATGGTTCTTGCAGCTGTCTCTTTCAAATCATGAGCATTGACATGTGGAGGTGTTTACAGTGATGCAGTGGAAGACATGAAAGATACATTTGTACATAATTAGGTAGCAGAGATAAGGCAGTGCTGACAGAATCGGTGTTGTAGTGCAAAGAGATCAGTAAGTACTGAATGCATTTACAATACATTAAAATGAGACTGAAAAGAAAAAAAAAATCCTCCCATTACCTGAGTTTGAAATTGTGGTGTTGTGAAATGAGATTAGATACTATAGATTTCTTATTCATAGTAAAGATCTGGTGTCTAAGTAGGATGCTTGGGATTTTGACATTCTGTAATGGTTTTGTTGTCGCATCGCTGCCACATTATTTCCTAGTCTTAACAAACTTTCTATTCACAACATCACCTTGTTTATTTTTCTATCACAGCGGGCATCGTACCCATTTCTCAGACTACATCCATATGTGGTTGAATTCTAGCTTCACAGCAAGACCTACTGCACCAAAAGATAGGTCCCTTGCTATGGAGAGTATTCAGTGCTCTTGAAAGAAGTGAGCTGCAACATTCCCTTACAGAGTAGAGGGAAAGATGAAAATATTTTGATAACAGCACCTGTTACAACATAATCCAGGAGGAAAAATTGCTCTTTTTCCCCTGAATGGGGTGTTTCAGGAACCTTCTCCAAGGCAGCAGTCCACACTCTCTTTACCTATTTCTTACAGTCCTTTGTCTTCTGACTCTGGCTCAAGGAATGGGTGGTTAAGCTATGAAACCCAAATGATGCAGTGAAAAACTGGACACTGTGATGTATTAGGCATCAGCAGATTTCATCACAGGAAGTCCTATCTGCACTTTAGGTATTCTCCATTTAAAGGAGTAAAATGCACAAAATTCAAAATCATTAAAAAAATATTTAAATAATTCTAACCCAGTTAACATGTCTAAACCCGTAAAACAAAATAACTACAAGTACGGTTATACTGTATGGGGGAAACCCGAGAATTATAGAACAAATTATGTAATAGAAAAAAGAAAATATTATAGCAAAGCTATAATGCAAAAGGAAAAAATATATAAAAACATTTGTCATGATGTTTTGCTTTCGATAACCTGTTTTGAATTGTAGTGCATCATTTGCTGTCTTTACAGTATGTATAATTTGTGTCATGCTGTGATTGCAGATGTATTGTCACTGGGGATATCCAACCTGCTGTTGCACATGCAGGTGTGGAGCAGCAACAGGCAGGCAGTATCCCATTGTTCTTCAGGGGAGTGTGCATCTTCCTCACTTCACAGGGGACACAATTGAATGAAACATATTTTTGATATCTTGAGTGTCATTGAGCTTTGTAAATTCTACCAGCTGAGCCGATATGTTAATGAACGTGCAAATAGCACCTTTGAAAATTGGTGAATATAAATTAAAGCCGTAGATCTCGGGACACTTTTACATTCCTTAAAATACAATATTTAAATTGTTCTAATACACTTGTAAAGAAAATCTTATTTGAAAGGTTCAGTTTTCCAAAAGCCTATAATCTGTGTCCCTTTTGTGTAAATGGAAGCTTAGTGAGGCTAGCGTACATATTATATGTGTGCAGCTGAGCAAAAGAATTAGAATCCCAGAATGTGCAGCTCTGCAGACATTAACAGGGGTCTTGGCCCTTTCAGATTAAATCATGAAATATGGATCAGACTGGCACCGAACGAATTGTAAAATATGTTCTGTGTCGCAGTATGCCCATACTGACAGCAAATTGTAGCATTCAGAAATTGGATGCTAAGCTGAATTCTAACAACCTGGTTTTGCATGGTCTCATTTTCCTACAGTCTAGGGAGCAGCACAGGCTTTAACTGCATAGAAAGGTAAACTGTATAAGTTAAACTAATGTTATAGAATCAATTACAGTAGATAATTAGTTAAAAATGTTTGGTCCTTCTTGCCTTTTGCAGCAAGGGAACCTGCCATCTTCCTGATTAATTAATTTAGTTAAGCTATCCATTATTAAACAATCTATTGGCATGCTAAACAGTTTTTAACATGTAACATATAAAAACGTTATATGACTCCCCTGAGCGTATGGTTAGGATAAGGCATATGCCTTGGTCTTTGGTCAGGGATAGATTTTTGTTAGTAATACGTACTGTATTTAAACAGCCGATGAGGTTGGTTATCATCACATTTATGGTATCGTTAATACATTCCATTTATTAAGTGGTTGTAAGGGGTGTTTGTACATATTTGTACATTTGCACTTACAAATCGTGCTTATGACAACTGCCTGTATTATAGTTTTCTGACTGCTGTAATTTTTTATTACATTAGATTTTTTGCAATTTAACTACTTTGTATTATCCTCTACCTCATTGTCTTGCTTTTTTATTTCAATGAGTGTGGTTTTGATGATGCTCCCTTGAGTGTTATCACGTGTATTTTGTTGTGCTTGACAGCACCAAGAGATTAATAGTCCTCCTGCAGAGGTTAGAAAGGAGAGCCAGGCTCTGATTGACAACCTTGTGTTAATTAAGCCCTTCATCAGACAGGGCTATTCTAGCACAGAGGTATGTCCTTGTGAACTCCAAGCTACGAAATTCTTCAGATCAGTGTGTGTATTTCATTGAAGTTCTTTTGTTTAAATGCCATTAATGACAGGAAATGCAAACATTACTGTGCTAATAAATTAGTGCATGAATAAGAAGATTTCTCAGTACTGAGGCTAAGATGCCTTCTGGCTGTCCACAGAGAGACAAGAACCTTGCTAGAATCAGAGCCTCTGGGATTTGCTTTCTTAGTCACCTATGGACTGAAAAACCATTAATCATTCTTCATGGGTTGTCAGCATTTTAGAGCTTATAATGTCTTCCCTATATCATTAATATGTAAAAGACTTCGCTGCTTCTTTCAGGCCCAACGGGTAATTAAGGAAAAAACCTTTTGTCTACACTTGCTGTCTGTCTTATCTGTTATCCTGTTATAAAGCTGAAGTTTCCTCTTTTGCAGGTGAAATGTCTCATGTACTATTGAGCTGTTGTATTATGTTACAGTTTATTTTTGTTTTCACTGTGTACAAACATATATACCTCATCTCACCTGGGTCTCTGTGAAAAAGCAAAGAATCTTTTCAAATTATTTTTTCCACAATAGCTTTCGTGGCTGGCAGCACAATTATTGATTAAAAAGCTAGCCCTTAGTCTCTTTAAGTGAGCACATTCTCAATACCAATTGAATTCCACTAGCTGGCTGCTGTCCAGTAACTAATGGGCTTATGTTGTGTTTTAGGTATCTTTGATGTGCATACAATGAAGGCAGCTCTGTAAAAATGATCTCCTTGGATCTAAGTGTTCAAGGTTTTCTCATTGTATTTTATTAATGGAAAAATTGAAAATGCAGATAGTCTGTGCTCTTGAACATGTGAAAAACTCCAAAGTGATGATTCTGTTTTGTAAGTGATTGTAGAGAATCACACTTGGTAATTTGAATAAAGAAAGATCAATATGTTCAATTTTTCCCCATGGACAAAGAGAATCTCCATCTACTATGTAGTGGCAGTCCCCACTCTGTTTTACACAGAAAGCATAATGGCCAGGTTGCTGCATGGGTTTTCCTTTTGGATTGACCCACTACACCACAGACTGCTGTACTTTGAGACATAAAGACCCTTTCCTTTATTCTCTGTAGAATTCAGAATGTTTGCCCATCAGGTCAAGTCTTGACAGCATAGTCTCGACTAACAGACTGATTGTCATGACAATTTCAGAGCATTTTTATAGATGTAGGTTGGCTATCCAGCCAGGCACATATCTATCAGAATCAGATACTATATCTGATCCAAGAGCCATTGTAAGATAACATTTAGTTTATTTGGAATTGGGTTGATACTAGTTTTTCTATTCTGTTTTGAGGAATAGACGTTTTTTGAGCTAGTAGCTCTTACTGTACAATTGGCTGGAATTTGTCATGCTTCGATAACGGTTGTAATGGAGTATAGGTTCTGGAGTGGTTAGCTAAGCTCAGACTGCTGGAAGCAGTGTGTAAACACTCAGGATATTGAAAATTAGTGTGCGTCCCACATGTGGTTGTTAGATAAATCAGCATCAGCTGGGGGTGTGCTGATTTCTCTTTATAAAAGGAAATTGAATGATACAAAACTTGTCTACACTTTGTGAGATAGATTGGTAAGAGTGTCAGGTGAGAAAAATACTATGATTAATCTACAAGACATATTGTTTTATGTGAAGACATTAAAAATGCCATTTGTTTCTAAGTAGGGTTGTCAGGAAAAGTCCTGGCCAAACAGGATCCGCCTGTTGAATAAGGTATAAAAGATCTATGAAGGGAAAATGGAATGACTATGCTTAAAGACCAAATAGAGAGAGAAGGTTTGAAACACTGGGTTGGTCCAACCATATTATTCTGTATATACAGGAAAAGTATCTTACTCCTTTCTCGTATGCACAGAAAAATGTGGTTTTATGTATGTGGGTCTTCGAGACCATGCTACTTGAAGGATCTGCAACACTGGGGCTAGACTTTTTAAATATTTTGCTATTATCACATTATTTGCTATGATTTTGCTACTATATTGTCTGAAATGTAAATAAAGTTTCAGCTGATCCCACTGTGTTTCAATTTTGTCTCTGTAGAATAAAGTCACCTCTGTCTCTCTCTCTCCCCCCAGAGAAGATAAAGCAGAGGTATGGGGAGCTGCCGGGAGAGCTGCACATTATTGAGCTGGAAAAGGACAGGAATGGCCTGGGCCTCAGCCTGGCGGGCAACCGTGATCGCTCCTGCATGAGCATCTTCGTGGTGGGCATCAGCCCGGGTGGGCCAGCTTTCAGAGACGGGCACCTGCGAGTGGGAGACGAGCTGCTCGAGGTAAATGGGGAGACTGTGGTTATGTTTCAGTGTCACTTTTCATTGGAGTGATTTCGGAAAACATGTTAATAAGAATAAGACCTTGTAAAACAGAAAGACAGAAGAGAGTGAAAGAGGAGGTTCTGAAGCAGTCAGTGGTGTTAAAAAAGAAAGAGTGTGACTGTGACAGGAAGTCCAGGTTCTGCTTCTTAGCTTTCTGGCAAACTGTGATTTGCCAGATACCTGCAAGCTTGCTGTGCCATCAGTAACACCAGTTGCCTCTCCTGTGAGCAGTTATGTTTTAGAGCTCAGAACATGTGAAAAAATGAATGATGCAACAGAGCATTGTCCATATATCTCGCTCTTTCCCAAGTGGTGCAGAGGTCACTGCCAGTCAACCAGGTCTTAGAAAACAAAATGGCAATTCGAAATCATAAGAACATGGGAAAGGTTACAATCGAGAGGAGATTGTTTAGCTCTGATGGTCATTCTTAATAACCAATTGACACATGGATCTCACTCAGATGTTTCTTGAAATAAGCCAGGATATCACCTTTGACAGCATGACTGGGTATCGTTTTCCAGTCTCCCAAATCAGTGTAGTAAGAAAATGATTGGAAATTCCATGTTTTAAAAAAAAGTAAACTACATGTGGAAGACTAAAGTCACCCAAAAGATTGAATAATAGATTGCCAAAGTAGCAATAATAGACTGCCAAAGCTGGCAAAAATAGAATGCCAACAGTATTGTTTTGCCAAAGGTCTGAAGCCAGAAGCTTGTGTTCTGCGCTCAAAGGTTAACTGGTTAAAGCCATCCCTGAATGCAGGGGAATTAGCCTGGAATCACATGGGTGTCAGAAATACTTCTGAGGAAAATTGCTGTGATGCAGAATCTTCTCAGGTGCACAGGGTCAGATCTTCAATTTGCTGCAGTCTGCTTTTTCAACATCCAGTCTTCTTCACAGCTTTAAGTATAAAATATATGTTTATGTTTCCTTTTACCATACAAGGAAACTGAGGTACAAACAAGATGTAATATAATAAATATATATTTCTTTCTACTATCCAGTGGGGAATTAACCTTTACTTGCACCTTTGCAGCTGGCTCATACTGACTCAGCTTCCCACATAGTACACTGTATACTGTTTGATATTGCTTAAGGTTTTTTTTTCTTGCTTTTTACAGTATGTCAAAGATCACTCTTTTCCAGACCTTCCATCCTGCATTTCATGTAGGATGTCAGTACTGTCACATATCCTGATCCCTATATGATCTTACTGTGTGGGTTTTCTTGGCTAGACAGTTACAAGTGTATACAGACATATATTTGATACCTAATAAACTTTTAAAAAGGCTTATTGGCTTGCTATGTTGCTTTCTTAAGTGCAGTCCTGCCAATGGCTGAGAGCTCTCTTTGTGCAGTTCCTGAGCAGCGGTTCTGACTGTTGAGCATGTCTCATCTGCTGGGGAAAATAACCTGATTCTATCATTGTCACTTGTTACCAGCCTGCTGGAAGGAACTCTGCTGGTCAAGGAGAATATGTTCAAATTAATGACCGAAAGTGTTGAGTTTGTGTCCCGGGGGTTGGTTCAGTAGAGCCTGTCAGTAGTGAAGGTCAGCAGTTTCAGCGGGATGCTCTGCAACTGCAAGCTGTTTTTAATATTTTTACATTTTTAAATGTATCTTTCTGAATTACCCAGTGGCTTATTAAGAGTTAACAGTAATCGCTGTAAATTTTGTAAGGCTATTAATCTAACTATTTGTTAGAGTTTGTTTTATGTGAAATCCCTGATTCAAACTAATGACCTGACAAACCTACATGCCAATTCAGTGCTACACAAACCATTCACTGCTTAAACTTTGAGTGGTCAATATACAAGTCTGGTGTAGAGGAGTTAAAAGGATTTTTCCATGCTGCATTTGTCTCATCAGAATAGATCTAACTGAGATCAGTTAAATCTAGATTAGATCTCAGTTAGACTGAGATTACCTGTAGATCTCAGTTAGATCAGAGCTCTGGTCCACAGAGGTGGTCAAATTTCAGATTCAGAGTGGTAATATTTCTGCAATGCAATGATTTATGAATCTGACTTTGTTTTAAGTTTAATTTGTTTAGTGTGTAACATCACTCACGGAGAGCAGTACTGTATATGACATGATACCGAACACCTAGCAGTGGTTCTTCACTGTACTTATTGATTAAAACTAAATAAATTTTCAGATTATTGACATTTTATGTTTCAGCCCAATCAGGATTAAATTAATGCTTCGGGCAGCGCTTTGAAAGTCCATATTCTGCGCACAATATGTCACCCCCACAGTATTCCCACCCCTACCCCCTACCTATGCCTCTTAATGGTGCAGAAGAGGATTGGAGTGGGAGGATGAAGCGAATGGCTTCATATATCTGCCTGCCTGTAGCCTGTTAATGCTATTCTAGTCCCAGCTCCTGAGGGCACCAACTGCAGATTGTTTATTGATTTAGCCCCACGCTGCAGCGAGCACAAAGACAATCGGGTGAAAAATGCCCAAGAAAAGTGTTTAATGGCCTGTTAATAATATCCATCTCAATTAGGCTTTAATGTGCTGTGACATCACTATTAAAAGGCTGCCCATAAATACTTCTGCACAGTTGATCTGCAGAAAATTCTTCAGTTTGGTATGGATGCAAGTACTGTAGAGTATGTACACAAAACGGCTGTGACTCTGTTCTCTCTATATTACAGTATTTCTATATAGAGTCGTTGCTATATAGTACCCAGCAGTATGAGCACACCGCTAGTCAATAAATACTACATCTTATCAGTTACATAGACTGTACAATGCAAGTATTAATTGTCATCGTTTTCCCAGTCTTGCTGTTGGCCTAATTAAATAGTGTAGAAGAACCCCCCCCTTACCAATATATCTGTTGAAGATTTTTTCTTCTGCAGATCTGATTATTTCAAACCATGTCAGACCCTGTTAGTGACTTCAGAAGCTGTCAAATATAAGGAGCTACTGAAAGCAGTAATCTGATGTTTTGCTGTTTGTTTCGGTACTTTTTGATCTCCCCAGAGTGTATTTCTGATAATGTTTCAACTCATAGTTCTGTTCATTCCCTTTCTTACTGCTGGCTCTTACCCAGAGAGATTTGGTATTTTTCTAAAAGTGTGAGTTTGATAGAGGTAACTTCCAGATGAGGCAAACAGCCTGGCACGCTTTCCTTGCACAAATGTCACTGCTGTAGAGACAACAGGAAGTGTGAAAGACTTGCAAGTGCAGTGACGAGCATTCAAGTGGAAAAGGTCAGTGGGAGTTCAAAGACAGGCCCCCAGTTTTCAAAGAGCATCATCTTTTACTGAAAGTTTCATGGAGGATGATTGGAGTCTGATTGCCATTCAACCTACTGTAGAACTCTCAGAAATGAAAGTCATTTGTCTGGTTCTTGAAAACAAAGGAAAAAGATTAAATAACAACCTATGAATGAATGTGCTGTAGCTGCAAATTCATATAACATTGTTTTATGAAAAGTTCAAATGATGTATTGCTTCAGTTCAGAAACTGAAGAGGTGATAACCTGCAGAACAGCAAAAATGCTGAAACTATTGCGGCAGAAAACTTTTTTGACATTTTTGAATTTTATTTTGATTTTCTGTTTTAATATATGACATACAGTACAGTAGAGCATTTCATTTGTGCACCTAGCAAATGTATGGACTCATGCATTGCAAATGGGACCTGGCTTGTGCTGGATTTTAAATAAGTTGCCATTTGATTTATGTATTGACTAATATCGATTATTGTAGTTTGATCCTAGAGTATCATCATTAAAGTGTTTTCTTAAAGCTCCAACCCATTGAAAAATATTTTTGAAGCCAAAATCAAACTGCGAATCATGATCTGCAGAATCATTTTAGATGCTTGTTCTGTGTGTTAAAGAATGATTTCATGATCAGTTTTTGGTTTGTCCCAGAGACTCACAGATTAAGATCTATTTTCAAGTCTGGTGTAGGAAATGGACTGTAATTTATGGTTAGGGTTGGGCTAAGGATTTAAGGCTTCTGACTTAAATCTAAATCCAGACATAGCTTTTTATTTCATGTTTTCTGAAAACTATTACACCTCTTAGTTCATACATGATAATGTCTAACCACTATAAAAATATTAAGGAAGCAGGTAGTTTTATAGCACTTTGCTGCTAGATTTGTTGCAGGTGCTCATTATCAAACCCACTACTGTAATTTCTTCACTTTGATCAAACGGCCACCTCTTCAGACCAGGCAATGGGTACATGTTCACTTACATAATGTCCACTGGGAAAACTCCTTATCTGCTTAATGCATTACATCAGTTCCAATTTAAGGTCTAGTAATCTAATTAAACTACCGTATCCCCGGGTTTCACCATTTGTTTCAGTTTACTGTTCATGATGACTGGAATCAATTACAGCAAATGCTAAAATCAGTCCATTTTTATATGCCTTTGGACTGACTGTAGTAATTCAAACTGCTCCTTATCCTTTTTATTTCTGTACTGAGACTTCTTGTCCAGAGCCCTTGTTCCATGTGCTGTAGTGTTAGGAGGAGCATCTTCATAATGTTGTCTTTAGAAATGAGAATCTGTGCTGCACCGATTGAAAATGTGTTAATGGATTTGGTCCTGAAACAGCCTTGCTCTTGGGAATCTGATTGTAGTCCAATATTTCCCTTCTGTCTCCTTCTTGTTATATTGAGGCATCTATGTGAATTTTTTGGACAAGAAAATGAGACCAGTTCCACTTGAGGCTACAGCCAGGATTCAGTTTTCATTAAGGCTGTTCATTCAAATCCTGACCAGGCCCAGTTCTGCTCAGTTTTTGAGCTCTGAGCAGACTTTAACAGTTTGGAATTTCTCATGAGTAGAGATGAAGCATCAAAATCATAGGATATAAAAGCAATGCATAATCACTGTGTATACGTTATCATGAGATTAACACAAATAAGTACAATATACATTTTATTTTGTTGTAATTCCATGCATATTTTTTCTCACATTAGAATAAGATCATGCTTTGTGTTCAATGTGGTGAATTCAAGCAATCATAATTGGTATTACATTGGGATACATTCAATGAAGTGCATTTCAGAGTCAAAAGTCAGTATTTGGATGTATTGTATATCCTTTGAGGCAAAAACTGCATTAAGTCTCTGATCCACTGAGCGCACCAAAGTCTTTTATTCATTTGAAATGCTTTACTGCAGCCACATAGAGTTTTTTGCTAATTCTTGGGATGTGTCCTCATCATTCCTTTCAAGATAAAAATCTAATTATCTCTTCATAACATGCTCAAAAGCAAAAATAATTTTGACTTGGATGTCCCAATACGTTTGCAGGGAACTGTTAAAAAAATCACATATGTTTTTTGGAAAGGCCTTTAAAACACACTCACGTCAGATTTGATGATTTTGAAATCATCGTGAAAATGCCGCTTTTCTTGAGCCCAGGCATGTCAACGGAATGCAGAATGCTGAAATAAAAACTAAATAAGGCATTTATGAATGCCACATCTTTATGATCTCTGGGATCACACTGGCTGTCGGTTAAGAATGATTGTGTTCTATAATAATCGTCCTTGTCTGGTGATGGTAGGGCCTGATGACAATGGATCTGCAGATGTTTGGGATGTTTTTATTCTATAAGTGTGTAAACTCTGTATAATGTTAATAGATTGCATGAATAACATAACAAGACTGAATTTGGGGATACAGTAGGCTAGATGCATACTGCCATATATGATTAGAGGTCTCTCTAATGGATGGTTATCTTGTCTCCATCTCACCTGCAGATCAATAACCAAATACTGTATGGTAGGAGCCACCAAAATGCCTCTGCAATCATCAAGAGTGCACCTTCCAAAGTCAAGATTGTTTTTATCAGGTAAGAAATGCCTTTTGAGCACACAGCACACTGACAGGTACTGTCCATTGCAGATGTACTTTACCTTGTATTTATATTCCAAGGCACATCTTCTACAGGATATGGAACTTTTGTATCATGTGCTTCTAGGACTGCGACAAATGTCTGTTGTTAGGTTTGACAACAGGACCTCCCCCAGCCCAGGCAGCCGAGGTCCCTGCTATGCGCAGGGAGGGCGATAACATCACCGTGTCCAAACTAGCTCCGCTACAATTAGAAACCATTTCTCTGTATAACATATGTGCACATTAAGCTATTCAAATACAGCTGTTCAAATTCTGCATACCTAGCAAAAGATATATATTTAGAAAAGGTGAATTAACACCATATGCTGTGTGATGATGAGTATCTAATGGATAGTCTTACTGAAACAAAGAGAGAGTCAATATACATTATTGATGCTGTTGATTATGTGAGAAATTACTGTCATTAAATACAGTGTAATACCAGATAATTTGCTTTCATATTCCTCTTATTATTCAGCATAGCTGTTCGTATTGGTTAACCTGGATTGGCAGTGTTTAGCTGTCTGTGTTCATCCTGCGATGGTGCACATCTGCCAGCTGCTTTCTTTTCTATCGCTCTCCTGTTAGGCTCACCACAGACTCATGGGGGCAAAGGACAGGAGACGTCTGAATGCCTCTTGAAATAAATTCATGCAAGAAAATTCGGAAGAGTGCAGTAAGGGCACAGAGTCGCTGACATAATTAAAACAGGGTGAGATCAGGTGTAGGAAAATGTAAAGTCACGACCATCAAATTATAATTACATGAATAATGGAAAGTATGTTAGAAATTTGAATCCCATGGCCTCAGGCTAGAAAAATTATCTCTGGTATGGTCATCTTTTTAGCAGAAGACTTACACTCTAAATGAATTCTGTTCAATAAAACATTCCACCATGAAATCACAATCACTATTTCCAGACTCACGGTTTTGAAATATCTAGACATATTGCATAGTGCTTTAAATTGAAACAATCTAAAAGTCAAATGAATACTTTCAAGTTTAAAATGCTTTACTTGATTGCAACAAATCTTGCTTTTGTGCATTCCTTTATTATTATATTAGGTGAAATGCCTGAATTTCCTATCTCATACAATGGTGTACAGAATGACATTAGGCAGTTCCCAGAATGGCCTCTAAAGCTGCCATAAGGTTTATCACTGACAGACAAATGCTTCACTGGTTTCATTTAGAAATGTCTAATATGGAAAACACCTTCCTGTCTTTGGAATTTATTGCAGTTTTCTGTGCCATCTTACTCTTTAATATGTAGTGCTTTTACAGTATCTGCTTCCATCTTCCAAGAGTAATGACCAGCTTCGGCACAAGTCATTTCAATGTGCTGCTGCCAGTGACTGGAACAGTCTGCAGAATGAAATGAAACTGTTCACTGCTGTATCTGAAGGTGCCCTCAGTTGTGTGAACTTACCTTCTCTGCCTGACTCTTGCACTCAGTGACATGTCTTTTTCTATTAGATACATTGTTCTGATTGCTCTTCTCTTTCTTTCACTACTTTGTCTTCTGTGGTTTAAGCCCCTGACTAGACTCAACATTGCTATTGAGACTTTTTTTCTCAGTTGACTTAGCTGATCAAACAAAGACATATCCTTATCATTATTATCTAGGCATTGTGTGGAAGCTTTGCAAAGGTAAGATCTCATTGTATAGGCAGTTCCAGATATACAGTACGTTGGGGCTAGAGACTGGAAAATCATTCTGTATAGCTAAATGACATATAAAGGGTCATTTTTCCTCATAAGAATAACAGCAGGTGTCATTGGTTACACCTGCCTTTGGAGTGTCCATTGTATGCATTTTGATGCCCTATTTATGGTGGCCACAAGTAACAGGGACATGGTAATCGCAGTCCTTCCATGGGACAGTCTGTCACAGAAAGTAAAAGCTCATTGGACAAGTCAAGTACAGCTACAGTATGTAATAGACCTGCACTGGGATCTAGGGTGAGAAATCGACAGCCCCTTTTGCTAACTTGGGAGAGTGATGATCGAAGGGAGCATTGCCTGAGTGGAAGAAGAAGTGAGAGTTTCCTGATTGTGTTATTATTGTAAAGAAACATCCCACATGTCACTTGATTCCTGCTACACAATCTTCTCCCCTTTCCACAGCATATTGTGGTTCATTATAGTAAACCACTTTAGTAAACACAACATTATAGCCACCCCATGACTTCTGTTTTCACCACCAGCTTAAGCAGCCTTCCCTATCTATTCTACTGTTAGGGACCAGCTTATTGACAGCTCCAGTACTGGACAAGGTATTCTGGTGATCTAAAGAATTTTACACATATGGACGCCAGTCCGTCACAGGGTACACATAGACACGCACACAAACCACGACCGATTAATCGATTAATCGATTAAATCGATTAATTTACCAGCATGAACTGTGGGAGGAAACCGGAGCACTCAGAGGAAACCCCCACAAACACAGAGAGAACATACAAGCTCTCCCTCCCTCAGACAGTACCCCCGCTCCCAGACTGAACCCAGCACCCCAGCAGTGCTGACACCTATGTGCTGCCCAACCCTGTATCTTCTAAAACATAAGTTGACAAAACATCTTAAGTACTGTTTGCTTCGATGAATGTGAACTTCAAATGCTTAGAGCGTGTATCAAATTAGGATACTCTGACAAATATTATCTGTTGCACCGAATTAATTAGTAAATAGTGTTTTTTTTTCGATAAAGGATGCTGACATTTACAGTATGTAAGCAACTTTAATTATGTAAAGGTTGTAGCAGTGAAATCTGGAGCAGTTTGAAGGACAGTGTTTGTCCCCTGCCACATAAAGTAAATTAAATAGTTTGATAAGTGACTTACATCATTACACTGCTGGAGAGGAGCACTGTTAGAATCAGATTGGCAGTGCAACCACAATGCCCATAGTCAGCATAGTGTGTAAGGTCAGGCTTATTTTACTGATATTGACCATGATGTCATTATGCTCTGTAATCCCTCTGACATCGTAATGATGTCACCATGTTCTGAAACCTCTTGCACATTATACATTCATCTGTTTACAGTTCTTGCAGCATCAGAACATCTTTTTGCTTCCCTGATCATCAGTGATGCTTGATGATCATCTTGATGTTACATTGACTCCTATAGGGTAGACTTTGTTTCACCCGTCAACATCAGTTTCACCTTGACCTCACCTCGGGTGGGTCAGAATACACCATGTGTTCACACAAGCAGTCATTTGAACCATAAGTCAAAGCCAAGTGGTCTGTATTGCTGCAAATAGATCTCACATGCGGAATTTATTTTTGAAAGCTTTACTTTACAGGTTTGGTCCTCCCCAGTATTGATCAACCAGCACTGAGAGGCATTCTGTGATGTTAATTAATCAGATATACCCAGTTTGATTGTTCTCTATTTGTGCTTATTATGGCTTCACTTCTCTAAACAAATACTGCACTTCAGAAACACTTATTTATAAAAAATTGTAGAAGTTAGGAGTATTAATTAAAAACAGTGAACATCTGAATTTTTCTTATTGAAACAGAATGAGACCAATGATAACATATATTTGATTGGAAGCCTCGTCAGAAAGGTTTGGAATGAGGGATGGACTGTACAATTGGTAGTGTAGTTCATAGTGTTTTTTAAACATCCCTGTGTGCTTGTTTCTCGCTTAAAATTTGGGGTGATTTTCTGGAAATCAAAGTCACCCAGTATATAAGAATGTAATGTGCTGGAGGTCACCTGTCAGTGCAGCAATGAAAAGAAGGACTATATGCTTGGGATTGTAGGAAGACCAACCCCTGGCAGATTGCCATGGCAACACCTCAGATTGGAAGGCAAAAGGAAAAATGCAACAAATCAAGAATTGCTTTGCTATTTCCTCCATGTCATCCACAGTTCAGGACACATCTGTTAGTGGTCCTCTGGGAGGGTTGACCTGAAACCCAGAGACTCTGACACTATTTAACACAGTGCGGCAACAAAGCAGCAACCTTGTCAGCCTCACAAGTTTTATGGCCTTTGGGGACAGGAGAGGAAGAGATTATTTCTCACCACCCTCCAAAATAAAAGCATTAGCCGTGATTGGTAAGGGTCACTTACTGGGCAGGCTGAGAGAAAGGATGGCGTTTGCGCTGAACACACCAGGCAGCAGGACTCTTCAGAGACAGAGGCTGCCTCCTGGTCTGTCTTTTCCAGCTTTCTCACTTAGGGCACTCATAAAAGCGGGGAAGGGGAGAGAACAGGCCAAGGAGAGCACCTATGCGCTGATGAAGCAGAAAGAGAGACTGGGGAAAAATCGATCCTGCTAGCAGCACTACACTTTGGTCTTCTTTCCACAACAGCAAGACAGCAGCAGTACGACTGAGAAAGGGACAGACATGCTGGTGGTTTCATTTCCTGTCTTCTGCTGCACAGGGTGGTACTCCTTGACAGCGTGTTAATCTTTTTCTCCTGTGTCCTCCCTGTGCTCCTCACTGATGCACGATTGCATGTATCAGATTGCTTGTCAGTATGCTTCAGGACATGCACAGCAGAACAACTGTGCTTGTGTGTAAATCATGTGCACATATTTCTCAAAGGCTTAGTTTGGTGTTTTGTCAACAGGCATGGTGTGTTGGTTGCTAGTGTATTTGGACGTGTATATTTGCTCAAATTTAATCTTAATGCAATTCTCTCTTTAGTATGATACTGGCTTCAACCTGCCTTAAAGTAATGTGTGTCATTCTATGTGTAAACTAGGAAGAAATAGTTTAGGGCTGGAAACAGTTATCCGCTTTGGGAGTAGAGAAAACAAGGATTTAGAGGCAGTAAGTCTCCTAAAAGCTTCTGGTGAGAATACCCCAAGTGCGGGTTACCAGTGGCTAACATGCCTTAGTGTATTTTTGTGGATTCTTTGCAAAATCTTTTTTTCATGTTTATTTGTCCTGTAAAATAATCAATGTGCTGCCTCAAGATATGACCTCCCTTTTGTGTTGAACGCTGGATACTAGGGGAGACTGCCATATTTGAACAAAGGGAAAAATCTATGCAGAGTAATGACGAGGTGAAGACATTTGTATTACTTATTCTCAGCTATAGAGCTGGGCATTTTACTGAAGCAATCTGAGCAGAGTACCTTGTCCAAGGGTTCATCGGTTCATCAGCAGTGTCCCACCTTGGATTTGAACAGCCTTCCAGTATCCTAATCACTCTCCACACTACACCTTAAACGGCGTTGTTTCAGATGTGATATTACACTGATATCCTGATTTCTGATGATCATTTAAATTCAGTGGCAGTATTTGGAAAAATGAATGTTCCAATCCTGGCCCACTGTCTGAATTATTGTTGTAGCTTTCTACATCGGGACAAACTGATTCCATTCTGCAGTTAATCTAACTCAAGATTGTTCCTTCCTTCTCCAGCTGTGCAAATGAGCTGCAGCTGCAGAATGAAGTGAGGTCACTCTCATCTGTACAATGCTCTGAGATCCTCTGTGTGCAAGGCATGATAATTATGTAGTAACAATGAGATCTAATACATGCTTTTGGCAGTTTTTATATTTTCTTTTAAAACAACTTGCCCTTAATAATTGAGCCTTTAATGAAATGCATTACAACAAATTAATAAGACATTTAAACTTTCTGTTTGTTTCATTTTAAAGGAATGAAGATGCTATCAACCAAATGGCTGTTCCTCCTTTCCCGGCACCTCCAGCATCTGTTTCTTCCAATGAGGTAAACTAGCTCCACTTTCAAAATCATGCAGCCCAAAAAGGTTTTATGTCTGCTTTGAGCAGCCAGGTGAGTTACACCCAAGCCTGTTGTGCCAAGGAAGAAGAAGACATTGTATTTTTTTGCTACACTGAACATATTAGGATAGAAAGAACATCACCTGTTATGGTAGACTAGAGAACCATTAGTCCTGTGTTTGCCTCTGAAGTCTATCCGTTTGCAACCTTACGTTAACAGCTTGTCTGAGGGCTAAGTACATTTCTAGCCACTGGCTGAATAAGGCTCATTTGACAAGATCAGCTGTTTCCACCATGTGTAATTGCCTGACTCAGCTGAAAATGAGAAAAGAAAGTCTGTTCAGTAATGATGGCTATGTTAACATTAGAGCTACTAAAGTCTAACCAGAGAACTGAGTGCTGTGGTCGGATGGCTGACAGAATTCCCTCATGTTCCCAATGACTAATGTTATTGTGTAAAGTCTTGTTCACATTTGAGGTTTTCTGGGGGGAGGGTGTTAACCATTGTTGGCTTCCCTGAGGTAACCCACTGTGCTGTACCTCTGTGCTCATGCAGCTCGTTATGAAGAAGAGGGATGTGACTCAGGTTGCTGGAAGATGGAGGAGGGTCACGTGACATTGTTGTTGACGAGACCCAGGCGGTATTGACCTAAGAGAAAACCCTCTGGGTTTTATTTAATGAAAATTGTTTCTGACACAGCCCTCTAGATTTGTCTGAATCAATTTGTCAGTCTATATGCTAATCAGCTCCAGTGTTTGACTTTCAATTTGCAGCAAGTAGTTGATTAATTTCATCGCAAAAACAATTTTAACTCAAAAAGAAATAATTGTGGTTTGGCAGTCCTGGGGGTGATTTACGCCTGAAATTACTTACGTATGAACAAATTTTGTCTTTATAGTCTCAGAAATGCATTCATGAAAGCCAACATACAGTATTAAATCGTGCGTTAGGCTAGAAGCACCCAGTCAAAGTAGTTATTATTGAGATTCAGGAGCTGTCATCCTGTGCCTCTAAGTTAAAAATATAAAATTTGACAGGAATCCAGTGCAGATACAGATAAATGTCTCCACACCTTTTTTTAAAGTGGGATCATCCACGGGTGTCATGGGGTGGCATTTGTTTAATGTCGTTAACATTCTGACCTAGACCTAGAGGTGGGTCCCTGGGTTCAATTTTGGACCTAGGGTGTTATCTGTGTGGAGTGTGCATGTTTTCCCCACGTTGAAGACACAATCCCCCTTTTACTTAATCCCTGAAATCAGTATAATTGACTGTGAAGCAGATTTCAAATAAATCCTAAATAAAATAGTAAATATTTTATTAAAGGAGTTTCCTCTGGGTGCTGGGTTTCCTCCCACAGTCCAAAGACATAGTGGTAGGTTAATGGGTATTTGGGAAAACAGGCCCTGTTGTGTGAGTGTGTGTATCTGTGTCTTTGTGTGCCCGGCGATGGACTTCTCCCATCCAGTGTGTAGACTGCCTTGCACCCATTGCTTGCCTGGATAGGCTGCAACTCCCCTGCAACCCCGTACTAGATAAAGTGTTTAGGAAATGGATTGGATCATCTTAGTAGTTCGGCCTCTTATTGTATGGATGTTATGAATATGAAAATTATTTTATACTCCCAACTTGTCAATAATTCCGTCATGGTTTGTGAATTTGAGCGTCATTCCACAAAATCAGCGTAAAGTAGAGTGAGACTTGTGCTGTTCACTGTGGTCAATTTGAAGAAGAATCCACGGTAATGATTTGTGAAAATGATCTTTCTCTTTCATGGTCTCACCTGGCCTTTGATATACTAATTTTACTGAGACAGGAAACGCTTTTAAAGATGGCACTGATGTGTAGTAAATTATTTGTATATACTTTATATGGCTGTATACACTGCATTGCCCTATATGGGAATGTTTTCTAAATTGCCCCAAAAGCAGCAGTTTCAAAGAAAGCGGTTAAACCTTTCAAACTGTTGCATTTGGCATTGAATGCACTGGCATTTTAACCGGCGTAGCTAATATTTTTTGGGTATTCCTGACTCTTAACCTATTTAACCCTGATACCATGCTCATTCAGAGCACCATTCCACACGAAATTTCCAATAACAGAATACTGGTCAAAAAATGAATTCGTACCACAGTTGATACATTTTGTATCAAGGTTGCTTAGTCTTTGCAGACTATTATTTTGATGCCCTGGGTTATATTTTCTGCTTAAATGAGTGTTAGGTTCCATTAATTCTTTGAAGAAAAACTGAACTCTAACCCTAACCTACCCAAACCCTTAGCTAGGGTTAGGGTTAGGAGTATTGGAAAACTTAGAGGATGTTTGATGGCATGGCTGTGTTTTAGGACAGAAGTGAAATTTAGGAACAGTAATATTTTAATGTTGTCTTCACATTTTTTTTTCCTGCATATATGGCCCTATACACTGCATTGCCCTAAGTGGGAATGTTGTCTAAATTCCACAAAAAGCTAAAGTTTGAAAGAAAGTGGTTAAACCTTTCAAACTGTTCCATTTGGCATTGAATGCACTGGCATTTTAACCAGTGTAGCTAATAATTATTGGGTACCCTATTTAACCCTGATACCATGCTCATGGAGAGTACCATTTCACACGACATTTCCAGTAACAGAATATTTGTCAAAAAATGAGATTGTACTACAGTTGATACATTTTTTGGCAAGGCTGCTTAGTCTTTGCATAATATTATTTTGGTGCTCTGAGTTATATTTTCTGATTAAATGAGTGGTAGGTTGCATTCATTCTTTGAAGAAAATCTGAACCTTAACCCTAACCTACCCAAACCCAGTAGGCCATTAAGGCAGTAATAATTGATATCACCACCAGGCTGCAAACGTCATCTGCAGAAAGATCAGTACACCTGATTTTTGTGCAGGGGCGGATGTCTTTTGATGTGTTTTGACAAAACAAATACAGTAAACCCTCTCTATTTGAGCATCCTCTGATTTTTTTATTTATACAATCTGTACTTATTCCTACTAGTTTCTCTTTTAATGAGCACATTTTCACTCATTGCCGAGATTCTTCTTTTTAACATCGTCTCAGATGAGGAATTTATTTTATTACATTTTAACTTGTTATAATAAATGCTTGTATATTAAGTTCCTATACTAGAGGATAGTACTTAATGTTTACTGTAGCTGTGTAACTACTGTTCTGTACTGTAAATGAACAGGAGAGGTTTTTTTTTCCTGCCTATCGTTTATGCATCAGCTAATGATTTTAGCATGTTTCTCAAATAATAAACCAGGAATATTATTGTTTTCATATTTAGATATCATTCTGTATTGTATTAAGGTGTGATTTAGGTGTTTGAGGGAGCATTTGTGATTTCTGGAACCAATTAGAGATTATAACATCAAAATTTAATTTCCATTACATTAAGTTTCTCCTTATGAGCAGTTTTTTGAGGAACAAATTAAACTTGTATAATGAAGGATTACTATATTTACAAACACATTCATAGCCATAGTTTGAAACAAATCTAGGCTTAAGACAAGACTAATGAATGTTTTTTTTTTATAAGCAGTTTCAGCCATGCTATTGTACCACAAGATATAAATACCACTGAATTTTCCAGAGCATCCCAAACTTTTTGTGTAAATAGTCTGTGAAGGGATTATTTATTGAACAAGTCTACACACTCTTTCCAAACTAACACATTTTGTGGCATAACAGCCTGAAATCAAGACGCAATAAATCAGAATTTATTACCTTTATTTCCACACTGTAACACACAAACAAAAGAACAATTCTGCAAAATAATTACAAACAGGCACGGTACTATGTATATAACAATTTAAGCAGTAAAAGAATTATCCTTACACCATTTTATTGTTCTTTGATGCAACACAACAAAGGTTTCAAACTCTCAGTATGACTCTGGGACCATGAAAAAAACAAAACAACAATATTCAGCCTCAATCACTCCATTGCTGAAGGCTGTAAAGCAGGGGTCAGTATTGGTCATGGAGGCCACTTATCAAGCTGTTTTATGTATAGCCATTACATCATCAATTTCTGGAGACCTAGAAAAGCAACTGTAATATTTTTATTTTTTCCCTGAAACTCACCTTCTTCTGTAGGTGGAAAACTCCCCCCTCACAAATGCAAAAAAAATTCCATTAACTGTGATTACTGTGATTGGTTAAACAGTTGTTTTGTACAATTAATTCACTTAGAGATCGTTTGGCAGAAAAATCAGAATTCCATAACATAACATCACTTTATTGGCCACACACATTTCTTGTATTAGGAATTTGTCTTTTCGCATACCTCAGCTTGCTCTCCATGAGACATGGATACACAGACAGGGAGAGAAGTTGTACAGCGCCCCTGGAGTAGTTGGGGTTAAGGGCCTTGCTCAGGGGCCCAACGGAGTAGATTTCCTCTGCCGGCTGCAGGATTTGAACCAGCAACCTTCCAGACGCAGGCGCAGATCCTTAGCCACAGTGCCACTGCTCCGCCCCAACCCTCAAGGGTGCAACTTCCAACTAATTGAGCAAATTACTTGCTTATAAGAGTTCCTAATGTTTATAGAACAGGTGATTTAGAGTAACCTATAGGACTAAACAGTTTTTCTTTTTCTCTTTAGTCTCATGATTTCTCTGGGATGCTGACAGCCAAGGAAATGTCCCAGGGGACCGAGGAGTTTGCACACAAGAAGAATATCCCTGAGGTGTCCCTGGGAAAGGTAACGGCTCACTACGGGGAAAATGTGGCGGGAACATCGGCCTTGAGCTCAAGTTTCTGTTTTGGTTGCTTTGGAAAATGCTTTGTGTTACTGGAAGTTTATCTCATTAAACAGCCTGAGCTGTGTATCTCCTAACAGAAAACTACCCAAGCATCTAGGGGGTTGTATTCTCCCCGGTTTTCTCAGACAGAACCAAAAAAGGACAGATGGAAAGAACCAAAACCACAAAGAAATGACACAAGGGAATGCAGATAGTATAAACTCGCAGGATAAGTGTTCTAAAGCAAAACACAGCAGCAGGGATAAGCAATGCTCTCTGAGAAGCACTTCTTCAGTCTGAGGAAGCTGTGCATTATGCTTGTCTTTACTTTGAAATCGCAATTGTGTCTTGAAACCGGATTTTTAGAAGTTGGTAAAAATTCTCAAATTTGTTTAAGAATATTTTTACTGATTACAGTTATAAAAGGCAACTTAAGCTTTCAACTTGGATGTTCTCACTCATCAGTAAAATCTTTACCAAAATACGTAATTGGAGACCTGAACAAAATATACATATAGTATATATTTTTCTCGTGTTGGAAGGTAGGCTTTGATTACTGGACTGAGATACACACTTTACTGTACATAGGAATACTTGTTGTTGGCTGAACTTCAGTTGAGGACACCCTACACAGAACTCATTACTGTCCCTAGACTAGAGAACCTGCTGTACAGCACTTCACTTTCCACAGCCAGACCAAATGTTCACAGTTAGTTTTAGCAATGACTCAATAAATCATGGGGAATGTATAAAAATGGGAAATGTAAAGATTCCTTTTAATCCTCTCAAGCAGTGTTTGCATTGATGCATTGTCGTGTTGATTCAGTAAGTGATTTGTAATTTGAAACTTTAGTTTCTCATCTGCACTCAGAAACACCCTCTCTGTCCCTGCTGTCCCCAGGAGCAGACTAGCCTGAAAGCAGAGGCTCAAGGGACAGAGGTGGTGCTGAAGAGTCTCAGTGAGGGTGAAGCCACATCTAAGGTGAGATCTAAGGATACAGGGCTGAACTGTCTCTTCTGACTGAAAGCGCCTGTTCAAATATAATAAGCTTTGTCTTCATCTGTAAAATGTAAAACTTAGCAGTGCGCATAAACTTATCAGGAAACTTTGAACATGGGAGTAGTATTAAATTAGATGGCAAAATATGTGTTCCTTTCAGGTTAGGAGTTTATTTGGAGTTGGAGGAAGTAAGAAGGTTTTATTTTGTAAAATAAATGTACAGAACTTGACTTGTTGCTTGACTTGTAGTGCACTTTCTCAGGGTGCAATGAGAGCACCTTTGAGTGCCGTTTCTCCAGTTGATGCTGGTAGCTTAAAACAACGCTGGAATTCTAAGTCAAGCTGCTTTCAAGTCAAGTTGTATCATTCGCCACCATTCAGAAAATAAGTGTTTGGTTTAATGTGACAGAGCTCAGTTGGCTTTGAGGCTGTTACAGGAGGTCACACTACCCTCCTTGTCTCCTGGGAAGTCTGAGATTAATTCTCCTATGCCAGGAGGCCTGGCCTTTTGGAGTAGAATTCTCTGCTGTGGAGGTACTGTTTGTCTCTAAAGCCCTGTGGACCCAAGAGTGTCTGAATTGTGGTGGGAGGCTAAGAGCTACGCTATTCTCCTTAATAATTCTGGCACCTCAACAACAGGCATGTTGCCATTATCTCTCAAGAGCAGAGTGAGGTCAAGATGAATCACATGTTCCTATTAGATCAGATCTCCTAATTTCTTGTACCCCTGTTTGTCCTCATATTTCCTGGATTCCACATATCTCCTGTCACCCTAACTTCCCTGTTATATAGCTTGTATTTCACAGACACAGGTCGGTTTGTCATTCCTGATTCCAAACTACATACTCGGAGTGACAGCTGACACGCCATTGACAGTTGAGCCGCACTGTCAAGGCTTACTAGAGGGTATATTGGCTCTTTTCAGTCTGCTTTCAGAATAAATTATTTTCTTTAACTTTTTGGGCTGATAGAATTTAGAATTTTAGATTTGAAAAAATAAATGCTAGTGATCAGCTGTTCAGTGATAAATTGTAGAGGGTGTCAACACAAACCTTTATTTCTTCAGTAATTACAAAATGTCAGTGTGAAGAGTGCAATGAAAAAGCAGGATTTGGGGAACTATTTTAAATGTGTCTTGGCAGTTATATACTGTAACAGTTTATCACTATTAAAATAATTCTGGTGTATTATATAATACTGTATGTTTTAGATTTTTGCAACATTTTAAATGTCACACTTCATTGTTCTTTTGCACATTTAAAAAGCAGCTCATTGCTATTCCAGATGCCCAGGGCTTCAGTGAGGGTAATTCATCATTCTGGCTCTGATGCTGAATCTTTTGTGCAAGTGGTGGTGGTAGGAAAAAATGCACCAGAGCAGTCATTAAAGACATTTTTTATCCTCCAAGAGACAGGCTCCACTAAAGCTTGAAATATAGATACATAAATCAGTCAAAAAGACTTGCCACAAAAAGTGAAATCCTGTTAGAAAATGGTCATGGATGTAACACACAGAGTAGAGGTTGGTCATCTGTATGTTCAAATGTACGTCAGACACATTTCTCTCAGTTACGAGCTTCTAAGTCATGATCTCTTATAGTTGCAGCCCACTTTTCTCATCTTGCTCTGAATACAGAGAGGTATTTTGCTGGTCTCAAATCAAATGCTGAAGGCAACTGATATGATTTCCCATTTGACAGCTTTCGAGTTTTTCTTTGTTCACTGTTCAATTCATAAATCTCTGTTCTATTGAAAACCGTATTGTCAGGACATCTTTAACATTTTGTTGCTTCAGCGTTTTCTGTTTACTCAGTTATGGCACTTCGAAGAAGCAATTAATATTTGTTACATACTTCACACATTCAAATCAGAAAACAAACAAGGGAGTAAAAAGATATTGTGAAAGAAAAATGGAAAAGTCATGATGGCGTAAGTATACAAACACTTTGCAGTGGCACATCTGGATTAATGTATATGCACACACTCATCTTAAAAGGCTACACAATTGAGTGGCCCTTGTGTCCCCTAATAGTGGTTCACTTGTTTTCACAATAAATCAATCTGTCTCTGCAAGGGCCCTCAGTCATTGAGTTCCAAGCAAAGATTCAACCATGAAGACCATGGAGCTTTCAAAGCAACTCTGAGATAAAGTTGGAGAAAAGCACCAAATCAGGAGAAGGACATTAAACCTTTAAAAAGGCTGTTGATATCTCTTTGAGCATGGTGAAGCTGATCATTCAGAAGTGGGAAACAGCCAGACACTGCCTCCGAACTGAGCAGTCTTCAAGGAAGTCAACAACGGTCACTTGGAGAATTTCAGATTTCACTGGCTGAGATGGGAGATAGGTCAACAATATCCTGGTCATACCAGATAGGGGGCTTTGTATGGAATTAAAAATATATTTTGGATGTTTCAGGGGGATTCACAACAAAACACCTTGATAATACTGTAGGTTTCATTGCTGTATTTTTACATATGTAATGACAGGGCATTCCTGTACAATACTTATTTCATATATAAATGTAAAAAAGATGCATGTTTTTGCTGTTTGTGTTTATACTGGTGTTGTCCTGCAAACATGTGGCAAAAAGTTTTGTGGTCAGACAAGACCAAATTGGAACATTATGGTCTGCTTACTATAAGTGCAAAGTGTTACATCTGATGCAAATCCAACTTAGTGCATCATTTGGTCAACACTATCCCTGCTGTCAGGCATGGTGTTGGCAAATTATTATACAGTTCGAGTCATAGTCGAATGGACTCCGTGCCTGCTCCTTCTTAACTACTCTGTCTGTTGTTCTTCTATCCTTATCATTCAGCTGCTTTCCCTCTCTCACTCACACCTGGACAATGCTCTACAGCCAAGTTTCTTTTCTTTACCTTTCTACATGGAATGAACCTTTACGTGTTCCATTCTGTTATAGTTCTGAGCACCGTGTGCCAAGCCGCGGATGAACAGGTACTCCATTTCTGGGAGCTGTTTAATAAAAGCGGGAAACTTGCAGAACTCCATCAGCAAAGGGCTTTATGACAACTCTTATTGTTCAGTGACATTTCATGTTAAGGGTCTGCTTACTGCTAGGAAGATAATTTGCAGTTAACAGTTGGTGCCACACTGGTGTCACATTTACCGGTTTTCTGTCACTTTTTGCAGAAAGTCAAGATATATGAAAAGGATGCGGAAGCAGAGATCAAGAGTCCTAGAGGACAGCTTCATGAACAGGTACTTTTCTCATATTGTGACTCACCCTCATTTCTCACCTTTCTACACATTGTTCTCCAGTTACCATTTGTTATTACCTGAGTATGTACAACTTAAATGAGTATGTTATTAACTGTGATATAATTTGTCTCTGTTACTCATGATCCCCAGAATTTCACCTGAGTCCTGATGGCTGCTCATGAAAAACAGAATGAAGCATTGCTAAAATTAGTTTGTCTTGGCTTCTGACATTCCTCAAAGCTCTTAAATGGTGCTCCTTTTTTGACCAATCAAATAACTTAGTTTTAAAATCTTCCCTCCCCAGCATCTATAGTTACTGTCCAATACTGTCTATTTATGTAGAGCATTAAACCAGTGAGAAATGTAGACAAACAAATCTGCTCAATATACTGTATATACACTAGACCTGGGTCTTGGCTGTTAGACTGCCTGTTAACATGGTCTTACACAGTGCAAAGTGGCTTGTAAGGTTGGAGCATAAGCGACTTTCTGTAGCACTGAGAAAAGCAGAGACTACAATACCCTTCTTGAATTATAGGTCATCTTGGATTAACCCCACACGCACAGCAGGCACCTCAATTATATGCTTTGGCAGACTGAAAAACTTTGGAGTGTTTTCAGTGTGTACAGCATAACCTGTTTTATAGCTTGTTTCTTTAAGAGCAGATTCTCCTATTTCCAAGGTTTCCTTGCCCCCTGTATATTGCTTCTCCACAGTGCCAGTCCTCATCTATGTCAGTAAGACAGATCAAAGTTGCAGAACCTTAGAGGAATTGCTGTATATGTGTTTAGTTTGTATGTTAGAAATTGCTACAAAGTTTCAATGTTCAGCCTCTATCAGACGTCTTTTATAATCAAATACAGTGTTAGATTATGAAATAACTGTCTAATCCATAAGAGAATCGTTCCCTTATCAAGTGAACATTACTTTTGGCTTCTGTTATACATTTGACCCCTATCAAAGCAAACTGCCTTGTGAGAAATAGGATCTTTTCTTAAGCCTTGCACCTGACGTAGCCTTGAGATGCAGACACTAGATTCCTGAAAGTATGCCGTCTTGTTCAGTCTGCCAGCACCCCAAAACCCATCTTCGCCAAGATGGCTGCCAGCTCTGTGGACAGGACTGTGGTGTCATCTGCTGCTCTTCCGCCTTCTGGCAGCCCCCCAGACTTCGAGTACACCGGCCGAGGTACCCCGCTCTTCCCTGGCTCCTCCTGAAAGTCCATGTCCTTGATATGTCCATCCCATGTCCTCTGTGTGCCTTTCCTCAAGGAGTCTTCTTGCTAGGTTGCTAGGCTGCTACAGCACCGGTCAAAAGGAAATGTTCAAACAGGTCAATACAGGGTTGGATAAAGAGAGAGCGAAACTGTTTTTTTTTTTTAAGCATTCTGTCAAAACAAGATCTATTGCCTCAGATCTGTGATAAGTAAAAGTGGAATTAAAACCTTACTCAGGCCAGCAGTTCCTTGGGCAATAATCACAATGCTGACTTCAGCCTGATACTTTTCAGATGTTGACAATTTCAGCTTCACTCATGAGTTTCTAACGTTAAACTGTCCTTGAGGAGTTGCATGCCTGTACTTGAAGCTGTGTCTAATTGTGTCAAATTGCCAACAGGTGATAATGAGTATTTAATGATTAATGGAAAATGAACAAGTCTAAAAAAAAAAGGAATTATTTTTTTTATAAGTGTTTTCCATATGAATCCTGTGTACACTGCGTAGTATACTGCTTTCAAGGTTGATGATTTCTCTTTAAAATAAATCTCTCTTGGCAATTTTATTGTTTCTATTTATAAAGTGAAATTATGCTTGTAATATCTTTAGCATTAGATTCATTCAAAAAGCCACTATCAGATGATTTTATGACAACTCCTGATGTACGGGAGGAATAGTTTTGCAAAGACCAATCAATAATTAATTAGTTATTTGTTGTTTTCATTTATTAAAGCTCACATCTGAACATAATAGAAACATGTTTATCTTTAAGAGTAGCTGGCAGTTTCTGTCATGCTCTGTTTGTAGTATGATACATTTACTGAGTTCTAAGCATGTTAACTTACCTTTTCCCTTAATAAAAAGTAAGAGATCAGATGCTTATTATTTGATCTATTATTAATGCTTATGATTTTGTAATGCTTATTATTACATTTAGCTTAATTCAAATTTAAAATGGCATACCTATGATGTTTAAGAAAAAAAAAACCTGCTATGTCAGTGGTACATACCAGAGAATGGGGGAAGACGAGACTAGTGGGTTGAGTTGTTGAGTTGGCAGCTGACAGTTTGACCTTGAGTAACTCTGGCTACAGTCACATATTCACAATTTGTATATATTGGGAATGAAAACTTATTTAAATTAAAGATCACCCTGACAATAAGTTTGTTTAACTCAGTCATAATGTAGCCTGAAAAGAGAAACTATCCCAGTCCTCAGACGTCGATCTTCTTTGTGAATTTAGTTCCCTGTTCCTTGGCGGGGAAATGAACTTTACTAGGAAAGAGAATGTTGCTGCAGGACAAGTGATGTTTGTCCCCTGTCCATCCCAAAGATCCAGCCACCTGCCCCATCGTCCCGGGACAGGAGACCGTTATTGAGATCTCCAAGGGCCGCTCCGGCCTGGGACTGAGCATCGTGGGAGGAAAAGACACACAACTGGTGAGCTGCCTGTCACAGATCTGTCAGAGACAGAGCTTGCAGAAGCCATAGCTCACATGTCATCTCTCTCAAGTAGATTGAGGGCATTGTGTCCTTGTGTGGTTTTCTTTAGCAAAGTGTTTGTGATTTGTAACGCACAAACATTATGGGCTTCTACCAAAGAGTTTGCACCAGGCGCTGGGCAGTGTCACTGGCTCCAGCCCCATGTCGTCTTCTCCTTAAATCTGGTGTCTTGTCTTAGACACAAACAGATTTCCACTTGAGCAGATGGATCAAAGTCCCTTAACGCTGTGAGGAACTTTTAGATTTTCACCTAATTAAAAGGGCTTTTTTAATTAACTGATTTATTCTTTATACATCAGGGAGTTAGGTATTATTGGAGAGATCAGCAAGGTAATTTGTATTAGGAGCCTAATGTAATTGAAAGCCCCAGCTGCCTTCAATTTTACGAATGATGCTCACTCTTCTTGTAATCTCTGCTCTTTTCACTCTGATCAACATCTCTTCTGCGCATTTCTCATTTCTAATTATAATGACAGGGTTTATAGCTGAGCTGTCTTACGAAAAGCTAACTCAGCTGCATTTCAGTCCCCTAGCCTGTAGATGTCAGTATACATCTAGGTACCTTATTAAATTGTTATGTAATGAACTTCCTTTTTATGGTAACTTATCAAACGTGCTGGAAAAAGAAAGAATTAAGTTAATGTATAAAGAAAATATAAGGCAAAAACGATGGATTAATTTAGGTAACTAGACTGAAAGCCCTGAAAAAGTGAAAAAGGATAAGCGATTACGGCGGTAAAATGGGATTATCTACTATGTTCACTGACAAAAATAACATTTACAAAATGAACAAAACATCAGAAGTCACCAAACAAGAAAAGTCAGGTGATTAGGTCATTGATTTAGACTCTACTTACAGATCAATAAACCACCAAAAGAAAATGTCGATGAAACAGTCTGTGGATCTGTGATAAAAGTAGACGCTATAGGTCAGTTTGTTTCATGCTTTTGTTTTTGGACACGTCTATATCAACTGCAAAGGTTAGTCAATATAGATGTATCCTGGGATGTTTTTAAGGCATCAGTAGGTTTTTGTATTATTTTACATGACCATTGCAGGCAGTGCGGATCCTGGAGAACTGTTGGCCTCTGTCAGATCTCACTCCAGGCAGGTTAAGTCTATGCAGAGCTTTAATCTTTTCCATGCTGCCCGAGGAGATGCAGTGCTTCTTCTTTATCTTCTGATAGCGTTTACTTTGGCCAGACCAGAGAGCTTCCCCCTTTCAAATTCAGTTCACTGTGATTTTTGTCTTTGGCTTGAGAAGTCCATTTTCGAGTGATGGCTGTCAGGTTAGGGGATTAAAATGATCAATGGTCTGAACAAGAGCTCCCTTGTTCACCTGCTATGGATATGTGAGATTAGAGGCTGCCACACGCATCCCTCTGCTGAGCTGTGAGCCTGCGGGCAGCCCATTAGTCTCCTTGATGTGGTTTACAATATTTCTAACTGCAACCAGCTTTATTATTATGGTTATCAAGGGCAGCAGAAGTGCAGGCAGTTTAAAAGCCTGACTTCACATCTCGGATGAGCAGCTTTGGGGTTCAGAAAGGTTCATTTTATTTCTCCCATCTGAACATTGTTCTAATATTTCACGCATTTCAGTAAACTGCACCAATTAGTAAACGAAATACTGTATTGCACGCTTTCATTAAATAGATCAAACCCCAATTTTTCTTTCAATTAAATACTGTGTAAAACTGGTGGTGATATTTTTCACGAGGGCTGCAGAGTGCTGCTTCTCAATGTGTCTCTTTGCAAATGCTGTTTTTCCTGTCTGGGACCCTGGTCCAAACCCTAATTCTAAACCCAAGCCTGACTTTGACTCTGACCCCGACCACAATTAGAGAGCCCCACACCGACTTATCCTCAGGACTTCACTGCTGTGCTCCATCTGAACAAGTCATTATTGATTGTCTTTCCTGACGGATACTATTCACATAAGTCAAATGTGAATGATGACACATACTCATAACTTCTGAACAGCACAGTTAGCAATGTTTATATTGCACCATTATCTGTTATGCTGTGATTTTATCTAATTACCCACCATAGTGACGGTATGTGTACTATGTGAAACAGCTGTACACAAAGAATTCCCCATGAGAATATAGCAGCATTTCCACATTGAATCCCCTTGCTCTGCTATTATGCTATTATTTAATATCCTAAAATAGCAGTTCAGGATGTTAGTGAGTATAAATAACTGCACAAAGATATTCCATCAGAATTCAGCTGCTGTGTGGGTCCTGTAGAATGGATGGCAGTGATTAATACACCTCTCTTGTTTGAATTAATCACCCCAGCCCACCTCAATGTTTCATTTTCTGTTCATTCAATTTCGTACATTTTGCAAACACAATACGTGGCTAGAAAACTCTACATCATCATCTGTACATGTGTTTTGTTCCCCCTTGCTCTTGCGCTTTGTGAATATTCAAAGAGCCCCGTTCGAGAGCAGAGCCGACCGCCGACTTATTAAAGCAAAGCTGTCCTTTTGTTCTGCTTGTTTGTGGAACTCGCTGAGAGTGGGCAGAGACCGGAGAGAAATCTGTAATGAGACATGAGTTAGACGGGACTCCAGAACTGAACGGTTTTGGTTGTGGAGGGTACTTTCTATTGAAACATATCAGTGGATTGGATTTGCTCTAGCGTATGAAGTGTCATATACCTGCTGGTTTAATTACAGTTCTGCATTACAATTCTGTAAGGCAGGGCCTGGGCTGAAGAATGGACAACTTAAACAGTACCTGTGTGACACAAGGGAAATTTTGCTTTCTTTGGTTAACCTAATTATTTAAGGTGTCCTTAGAGCCCTCAAACTCAACTTCAAAAGATGCCACAGGGTCTCCAAGATATTGACATTCCTCACAAATTCGATTGTCCTAATGAAGAAGAATATAAAAATAAGTATTGATCTCTACACCAGTATTACATGTGCATACACGTGTCTGCAAAATCAGAGTTTAGGAGCCACAGGTGTGTCAATAAGTGTCACCGTGTGCTACTGTAAGTGGCTTTACAGCCCAGAGAAGAGGTTGGAGCAAATTCGAGAAAAACAAAGAGTCCAGATCATAGCAAAATCACAGAGGTGCACAAAAATGAAATGCAGCCCAAGACTGTCATTTCCTTTTGGCAGTAGTAACCCTCTTTGGCAATGCCTGTGTCAGCAACAATAATTTAGTTATCAAAGATTGCCATCTGCAGTGGGGAGGGTTGATGCTGCATGTTACTACTGTAGGTGAACATAGACCAAAGCATGTCGGGATCTCTGGTAGCAAACCAAAAGCAAACCTGGCTAATAGGCACAGGTGTTGAGAACAGAGGGGGGTTGTCATCAAGACAACATAATCACAGCTTGCATCTCTGGAAAGGCAAGTGGAGAAGCACCACCTATATAAAATAGCTGTGCTAAGGTGGTCTGCATGTTGGAGTTGCCATCTCTTGCTAGGGTATAGCAGGGGTACCCGTTCCTTTGGGGATCAAAAATCTGGGATAGAGGTAGCAAATAGTTTACTAGGGTGTCAGCCTCAGATTGTTCAATATCTGCAGAATTAATATCATTATACACATTATACTGGCAAATTTCCCTTGCCTCTATGTATGCTACCCTTGTGTCTCACTGTAGGTCAGTATGTCATTAAATAATAGCAAAAAAACAAATGTAATGTGTATACCAGCTACCATCCCAAGATGGAAGAGGGCTCTCTGAAGATTCAAAGCAGATTAAAATGACTGAGTTACATTTTGTGAGAGGAGGTGAGAATTATTTGGAGGGTTTGCACCTGCACAAATACCAGGCAGAATCCTAACATTTCATTTTCACTGTTTGCACTTCTTCATCCAGACCCCTGCTCATTCCCACCCTTTATTTTTCATTTCCATGGGTTTCAATGTAATCTGCAATTTAGTGCCAATCCAACAGCAGCTTGAGAAAGCCTGCTTAGCAGCATCATTGATGTACTGCATGTGACATTATTTGCATTCATTAAATTGACCATTTTGCCGGTTTTCTTGCCATATAAGGCTGCAGTATCTCAGGGTTGTGGTTTCAGTTCACTGCTTCTTTACAGACATCAAAAAACAAATGTATGTGTCAAATATCTGAATCAGCCGCGATGGACTGGCCTGCTGGGCAGAATGCACTCCAGCTCCCCTGCGACCTTGAATTGGATGAAGCAGTCAGAGAATTGATGGATGGGTAATTTAATTGACGAACGAAGGCATTGTAGGTACTGGTGGGGAAAACAGAAATAAGCTTTGATCTCTTATGAAGTAGAAAAGGCCATTGTAAATGGCAATCACTTCGCAGAGACTCCAGCTGCAGAGTGCTTTCTTACAAGTGCACCTGTATATAAGCACAGTGCCTGCGTTCTGTGCACCCGAAGTGTTGAAGAATCTGCGAGAACTCCAGTCATCCTGGCGGGGCTCTTGAGGTGGAGGGCCCCCCCCTTTACTCAAAATGAATTGCTGAGTCTCTTTTCTTTCCAGGACGCCATCGTTATTCACGAGGTGTATGAGGAGGGAGCTGCTGCTCGGGACGGCAGACTGTGGGCTGGAGATCAGATCCTGGAGGTGAGAGCTGCAGCTGAGCACAGCCTTTCCAAACAGACTTGAACTCACCACTGGCTGCTGCAGAAGAACTGTAAAAAGTTGACTGTATTGCTTTAACAAGCTCTGCTGTTCCATGTGCTCTTTCAAATTACCTTATATTCTCATCTTACATGTTTTAGGGCTAAAACTTTCTTTGTCACTTGTTGCCTTTCTTTTGCTCATCACCCCATGCATTGTCCTGGTCTGGCGTTTATACACCATATCACTCTTTTTTTCCCCATGGTTTGCATCCTGTTTTGCTATACTGCAGAAGTTAGATCTGTGGATTTAACAAGGATCTGATGCAAATGTTCAAAGTCTTGAAAGGCATTAACAAAGTCAACCCATTACATTTCTCCAGAATGAACGGGAGAGCACAAACTAGAGGACAGAAGTGGCAACTACACAAAAGTGCATTTAAAACTGTGAGGGGCGGGGGGGTGGAGAGCATGTCTTTGCACAAATGGTTTTGGGAGTATGGAACAAGTTACCCAAGTCATGCTGTTGAAGCTGATAGACCAGATTCTTTCGAGACACAGCTGGATGAGATTCTCAGATTTTTTTCTGTCGGCTAAATGAATTAGCCTTGTATGTCCTCCTCTCATTTGTAATCTTTCTGATTCTTATATTTCTTAACTTAGTACTCCTTTGGGAATGTACTGCATCAATTCAGAGACTCGGGTCCTCAGCGAGAAGGTGGCTAGTTCTCAAATCACCAAATCACTCGCTGCTGGTACAGCTATGAAGTGAATAGCACAAATGAACACATCTTCTGTACAGTATAATTTTCCAGAACGTTATAGCCAGTGTAAGGCTTTTGCTAGAATAGTGAAGTAAACCTCATGTCATGGCTTCTGGAAGTAAATTGCCTGATACTTTTGAGATGAGACAATAAAAGATACCACGTGACATTAGAGCTTTAAGGCAGTTTTGAAAGCATTTGCTGTCATAAATAAATACATTCCAATAAGTGTAGGAAACTATCGTTCACCTCTAGTGCCCTTTCTTCTGCCTGCCATTCAACAGACTCTGAGTACTTGGGATTTTTTAGTTAAAATGACAGAAAAAGCTATTTGTCAGGGTTGATGTCTGTTATTCTCATTGAAAAGCTTTGACGGAGCCTCTTTATAATGCTGGTGATGCATGGGAAAACAATCAGATAACTGTGCCCACTTTATAAAAAGCCTTTTATGCATTTATTGACCTTTTACCAGACCCCTCGGATTTTAATTTCTTATTCTTATATTTGTATAAATTACTACAAAAAAAGTTCTGATGTATTTCTATTTTAGTCTTTCAGCTACCTATAACTCTGAATCTAGTAATCAATTTTCTAACCACTTCATCCACTTCAGGGTAGTGGGGGAGCCAGAAATGGACTCAAGGCAGTATACACCCTGGGCAGGGACGCCAAACCCACGAGAATACAAGACAAACAATCAAACTGCTCACAGACAGCACCCAGGTCTGGAATTGAAGCCAGGGCCCCAGGACAGGGAGGCAGCACTGCTAACCACTGCAACACTGTGCTGCCCATTAACTCTAAATTCCAAATATACCAAACGTAGTCAGCTTTTTAGGGGCACTGTTAAAAACCTTTTTTATTTAACAGAGGTGTTCAGGAAGAGACAGTCATCGAACCAATGAATATGCAATGGCAGGACAGTGCTCTTAGCCTGTGTGACACCTGAAGTTCTGATATCATCCAAACAAACTCACCTGTCATTTTGAGTTTGGAGAGATCTTGAAATGTTTTGGCCACTTAAAAAAGTAGGCTAATAGGAGGCTTTGACCTGACATATTAACTGAGTAATCGTTTGCTTCCCCAAAAAAGAATAATATCTAGTGCTGTTAAAGGATTTTTCTCAATCTCTGTCACAATGGACCACCCTCAAAGGTTCTTTTTTTAGTGCAGCTATGACAGCTTGGTGATAGCACCACCTGCTGGGCAGATCGCACATTGACTTTGTGCTGATGCTTTGCATCTTTTTTTACCCTCAAAATATGGGTACAGTGTCTGACTTTGGCATTAAACCTAGCATGCATTTGTTCCTTCAATTTTGGAATCAGCTGTTTAGTGAAACAAGAAGAACCAGAAAGCACTGACCTGTGTAACCTATGAATATATTCCTATATATGAATATATTTCTGTATATATTCCATATAGTCCTTATATGAAGTGAAACAACCTGGATCCCGTTAGCTCTCATCATAACCTTTGTCTTTGCCTGGACTGGGAACAGTTGAGCCCTTACATGTTGCACACAAGCATTCTCTTACATCAGCCACCCATTAGTGTAATCAGTCTGATTCCCATATGAAGAGATTTTCAGACCACAGTTAATGAAAGGCGCTGATGTAGTTGGTTTCAGATGTTGTGATGGAAGGGATAGCAGGAATTCAACAGCACGTTCACACAGAATGTGCCAGCAATGAGGTCACACTTCTCCTTATCCTATCACCACAGCACAAAACTGTCCTAATCCAGGGGTGTCTTGTCCTTTCCTGGAGGGCTGTTGTGTCTGCAGATTTGCTCTTAAAAGCAGTTCAGCCAGTAACCAGGTGGTTTAGCTGATTGAGAATGAAAACGTGCAGACACACCAGTCCTCCAGGACCAGAATCGGACACCACTGCTTTGAACTTTTTACAGAGCCTGACGTAAAGTTCCTATGTCTTCACCCTTCACAGATATTTATAAGTTGTATTATGCAGTACATAGTAGTCACGATAAAACCTTTCCCACTTTTCTGCTTAATATCTTCCATTAACATTTACTGTGTGTTTGGCACAGCAGACGCATGAAGCTGTGTTTTACGTGGAGAAGATTTATGGAAAACATTATAGCACAAATCCACAAGATGTGTCAGCCATCAAGCTCCGGCTGGTTTACTGAGCCACAGTTTATTCAAGGAGATAATATGCTGACAGTTTTTGTAATTTGTGGACTTTTTCCATCCTGTTATTTCCTCTTTCTGTTAGCCAAAGTGTTTCTGATAATAGGTTCTTGTTAGTTGAGTGGGGCATTTGCCACTAACACATTTGCTAGAGCTAAATTGAAAGATCTGCCAGAGCACATACAAGTTGCAGGAGTGTTGCCAGTCATAGTTTACAGCACACTGTCATAGTGCACATCAACATCAGCTAAGATAAAGTAACAATGTGACTAAGCAGACAATGGTCTTTTCATACACCTTTGTCTTTTTCAGTAATTGTGTAATGTTGTCCTGAAAAATAAGTGCAATTTTGTAGACCAGCTGGATTGCATAACAATTTGTTTGATTGAAACTGATATAACAAGAGAAATCAGTCTGAGGTATGATTTTCAGACTTGGAGAGGCAGCAATAGAGCATTGCCTGGCTACACTGGAGGTAATGAGATGTCTCATTGCATCTTTGGGTTGGTCAGCCTTGACTGATGATGAGCAAATAGAAGCCCACAGTTTTGAAGCAGGTATGCCCTCTAGAGTCTACTGTAGCTGGGCTGTGCTTCTTTCCATTAGCTCAGAGACCCTGCATCCTGCCCGCTGACCAGAGCCAAGGACAGAGAGAGTGTGGGTCTGGCTTTGGAGAGCAGAGCACACAAACTGAGCCACAGTTAGGATCTTGGCCAGCATTGGATGGAACCCAAGAGGAGCTCAAGAAGGAGACGATTCCTTTTTCCATGATTATAGTATAGTATAGATTTCTGAGTCTCACCAATCCAACAGCCCACATAAATAGCCCTGCTGCTCTCCAGTTAATCCTAGTTCAGAGGTCATCTGAGGCTTCATTGATGGAACCAACCCAGCAGGGGCCAGCGGTTGGAGAGTTTAACAGGAGAGGTTAACTCCAGTGCACTTGGTAATTCAGGGCTGTTCTGTGGGAGCCATCCCACTGACAGCTCATGTACAATGGATACAGCTAAACATTACTTTTCTGGTAAGTGGGTGCCTTTCAGTCTCTAGAAATAATAAAAAGACTGAGGTCACACCCCCCCCCCATTTTCTTCTGAAAGTTGTTTATTTCAACCATATCTGTGCTGGGTGGTCTGATTCTGTGAGAATAAATAAGGAGCACCTGCGGGTGTATTGCACCACGAATGCAAGCCTCTTTCGACCATGAAAATCCTTCTAATCACCAAAACGCTGTACCTGAATAAATACGTATATACCAGGAATTGGATTATTCTTTCTCTTAAGTAATGAGCCTGGGAGAAGTGCAGGGTGAGTGTGGCTTTTATTTAGTTTAATATGCAGTGCCACCTGCTGGCTTGTGTGGGAGGTGTTGCTTCTACATTCACCACCCAGCAGTTATTTATAACTGTACCTCTGGACAGAAGAGTGTTTGTGTTTGCTTTTTTATTTCTTTCTTAGAATTCATCAGTTTGTAAATACAGTACACTCTTTTTATGCAATCGAGCTATTTATGTTTTGTAAGTTTTCTATACCTTCAGAATAATTTCAGCCCTCGGAGACCGGAACATAGTTTGCATGATTTGTTTCATGTTTTACCTTTTACTTCTCTAAGCTCTTAGTCAAGTCACCACTGGATATGATGGTTTCTACCCTGTTCCTAGTAAAATTAAATTTAGAATTTTTAAAAGGCCTTAAATTGAAAAAGCCTCAGAAAACCTTTAAGCCTGTAGCTGTTCAAGGCTTAGATCATGGAGCCTTATTTGAGAACATTGTCTTGTTTTAACACCAAGGGTTCAAGGTTGTGTCTCTGAAGTACAATGACATTCAAGACGTGTTTTCCGGACATTTAACCCTTTCTTTACCATTTCATGCAAAACAGCTGAGATCCCTTTCATCCGATAGATTCCAGGCCACTGCAGCATGTGAGAAATGGTATGAATATAGAAGTCCAGTTTTGAGCTCTTTTTTGGAATTTAAGTTTTCATTTTCAAAATGTGTGAAACATACCAACTACAAAAACGAATGTTTTAGAGCTTGGAAATAAAAATAAAGTGGGCCTAAGTAAGTTGTAGTCAGAACCAGGTGTAAGTTTAAGCCCTTTACAGTAGTTCCCTGTTCACAATCAGTACAATTTGATTGTTTTGTTGGTTTTTTGATGTCACGTAATGTTTTTGTTGTAAAACATCTAAAGAAATTCTGCAGCGGAGTGAAATGAAATTAGTGGAGCTGAATTTTGAAAGCCTGACTCAGTGATTGTAATTCCAGATGGAATTGAGGAGGACATGAGACCATTTGCAATCTCTGAATAATTGATGGACAAATCAATTTATGCAGAAGTACTCTTCTCCTGAAGTAAAAGGGCAGCTTTTGACGGCTTGATTGTAGTTTGATTGACTGAGAAAGAGCTTACTGTGCCATCAAAAATAGAAGTCAACAGGAAAATTACATTAGAAATTGAGAGCTGAGAAATGCAATATCCCTCTTAAATGTGGATTTTATAATTACTCACAGACACAATGTATGGGTATCTGCATGTTCCTTTCTTGTGTGAGTCTGTATCTGCATGCTCATTAGCTGTGTGCCTATATCCTCGCTGGTTGTGTGTCCATGTATGTGTGCTAATTGTTCGTGTGTCTCTCTGCACACTCGTTGTTCATATGTCTTTTTTTCACATGCTGATTGGTTCTGTGTGACAATGATAATAAGTACCATTTGTCCATCCACTTTCAAACCACTCCTTCCAATTCAGGGTCACAGGGGAGCTGGAGTCTGTGCTGGCACGCAACAGGCGCAAAGCAGGATACCCCCTGGCCATGACGCCAGTCCACCACAGGGCACACACAGACACAGCCACGAACACACTCACACCAGGGCCAATATTTCCAGAAACCAATTAACCACTGCACTGTGCCACCATGCTACCCATAGTAACTGCCATGGACAACAATTTCAGTATACAATACAACAATATTAGACATATACTGTATATATTTATATTTTATCCTTTTCCACGGTTTAGGCTTTGATTAGCTTCCCTATTAATCTGCAGTGAATGAAACATATTTTGGTAGTTTGCAATACACATACAGTGAACATGTACCAAAGCTTATCTTTTTTTTAGGATTTATTCATGCAGTTTGCCTTGGTATCTTGTATTTTATTATAGTTTGTCATATGTGGCAAAAATGTAATATTAGAGTTTATTGTCATATTGTTGCCGTGAAATAATCACCATAGATTATTATATCAGGTGTCAGTAGTGTGCTGCAGTCTGTTCTAGCGTGCAGTGTGGTGTGGATTATGGATTGATGCACGTGCACCAGGATGATTGTTCCAGTGGGGTCACATGGGTGTGTGCGTGACCCCAGCTGTGCTCGGCCTGTGCTCCCGCTGCTGCGCTCCGGTCGCGAACGGTGCCGCTGAGGCCCATCGTCCCCTGCGGGCAGCGGAGTCCCGTGTGATCTCGGCCTGCGCTCCCGCTGCTGCGCTCCGGTCGCGAACGGTGCCGCTGACGCCCATCGTCCCCTGCGGGCAGGTGAACGGGTCGGACCTGCGCCACGCCTCCCACGAGGACGCCATCGCGGCCCTGCGGCAGACCCCGCCCAAGGTGCGGCTGACGGTCTTCCGCGACGAGCACCAGTACAAGGACGAGGAGAACCTGGACGTCTTCTCCGTGGAGCTGCAGAAGAGGGCCGGCCGCGGGCTGGGCCTCAGCATCGTGGGCAAGCGGTGGGCACCTCGGTCAAGCGCCAATCCCCCCAACCCCCCCACCCCCTTGTCAGTTTGGTTTTCCAAGTCTCACGCAATTAGCACAGAGCACCGGCAGCTAGGGTGAACAGGGCGTATTTCAAACCATCACCGGCTGTAGAACAGGCCATTTCTAGAAAATTCTGCAGGTGCTTAAATTATTCAGCTTCTTTTGAAGTCATTTTGTTTCTTTTTTTGTTCCTGAGGCATCCTAGTGTCATTCCGAATAGGCTGGCCTGTTAACAGACTAGTCTCGGAACGAGTTTGTGTTCAGGATCAGTCCATGATGCAGTGGGCAAAGACAACAGGAGACAGAGTAATCAATCATCTCCTGTAAGTGAGTCGCCTGACAGCACTGACTTCAAGAACACGGGCACATCCCGAGACATTTCTCAGCTTAATCATTCAAAAGGCTGTTCCTTTTAACAGCAGGGACTGTTGAAGTGTCTTTATGTGGATTTCTAATGGTGATCTTTCATGAAGGCTTTTTGGACTGTATAAAAATAAGTATTATGTTATGCAAATGATAGTAGCATATTAATAGCATTTAACAGGTAATAGAACCAGAAACACTGAAAAAGCAGGTTTAGAAACACAGACTCTGAATCTCTAATGGCATTTGGAAGTGCTTTCAGCAATCTCAGGGCTTTGCAGTCCAGAACCTACAGACTGCTGGTAGGAAAGGACTGCTGCAGTGTCATTGCTTATAGTTGCCCAAGATGGTGATGCAGCTCTTTTGTCTCTGTTCAGGAATGGAACAGGGGTCTTCATCTCTGACGTCGTCAAGGGTGGGGCGGCTGATCTGGATGGCAGGCTGATGCAGGGAGACCAGATCCTGTCCATCAACAGGGAGGACATGAGGAGTGCCTCTCAGGAGACAGTCGCGGCCATACTCAAGGCAAGGACTCAAAACCACCTTGAGCAAAACAGTCATCAGAGGATGACATCTGCAATTCTAGGGATATCCAACAGAGCTGTTGTCAAAATTCTGTCCCTTAAAGGCGGTGCTATAACATAGACAGCACGATAGTACTATAGACACTATAAATTTTAGATTTCTTAGATTTAAATATAGCATCAGTCATACAGCAGGTTGAAGTGTTAGTTCAATCTATTTTATAGATAGTTTATTTGTTGACAGTTTATTTCTCTTTACATATATGTATATACAGTATGTATGGGGTTCTGACACATTCTTGAAGTGCAAAATTTATTTTTCCTTTAATTTCTATGTATATACGGTATGTCTGTAGGTGTATAGTGTATGAGCAACTCACCCAGTCAAATTCCTTGTAAGTGAAAACATACTTGGCCAATAAAGTGATCTATCTTTATTTATTTATTATTTAATTTTTATTTATGCTTAACAAAAGAACAAACATTACAATACAAACAAGAGTACATATAACAATTCAAAACAAAAATATCGTTAGGGGTACATACTACTACATCAATTCAAGTTATGAAAAAAGATTAAACAAATTAAATAAAAATAATGTCCGCACCGCTTTCATATTTTTGCATTTCGAAATAGTCTGCAAATACCCCTTTACTTCCATTTTAAAATACTCAAACACAGGGTACCTCAAAGACCACTTCATTTTATATATGTGATAACGTGCCAGTATAATAATTAAATTTATTACAAACAAAATTTTTATATTGTTTTCACTGGGGCTAAAACTTAACGTAACATCTTTTTCAACAAAACAAATATCAAAATTGGTCTTCTATCTTTATTTATGAAGTGTTAAGGTTTTTCTTGCCATCTAGTGGTTAGGAATGGAATTGTTTTGAATTGGTGCTGTCACACACAGTCTTGTACACAGTATGTTCTCTATTGTGCTGCAGTGTGCCAAGGGGGCGGTACTGCTGGAACTGGGCAGACTCAAGGCTGCTTCCTGGCTCTCCTCCAGGAGAACATCTGAGGGCAGCCAGGTCAGTAGCAGAGATGCATTCAGAGGGACTGCATCACTCTTGAACAGTGTCATCCACTCCAAGGACAGTGATGCAGTCCCTCTCTCAAGTTTAGAGTTTACTGAATAATTTAGTTCTGGGGGGGAGTGGTCCTGAGGCATTGCCGGGGGTGTGCTGTGAATTGAGCCACATGAGGTGCCACCTGCAATCATGTTTTTGGAGACTTGATGGTATTGAAAATTTGCTGAGGTGAATAATGCTCAAGACAAAAAAAAACAGGGAAGAAATGAAAAAAGCCTGGAACCTGGAGAAATGTAGAGAGAACGTCAGAGTACTTAAAAACAAAAAAAGGCAATCTGGGAAGTTAGCTTCAACTATATGGCTGGTCAGCTTGTTCCATGCTCCCACAACCCTTAGTGAAGTGTAGTGCTTATGTTCTAGGTTTTTAATGTGCTATGTGGAAAGGGGAAATGTACGAAGGGGAAAGGATTTCTTCCTGTGACTGTTTTAATTTTTCTCATTTCCGTCTTAATCAAAGACAAACATATTTAATTAAAATCTTGTTTAGGTGATTTTAAAGTTGGATAACCTTATGAGTACAACGCAGCAAAATGAAAACCAAACTTTGCTCCAGCTGATCACAGACTCCTTGTGTTAAGGCATGTCTAGGTTGTCTAGAAATACTCTCAAGCTGCTCTAGTCATGTGACTAGATGGAGGAGCCCCTGTTTTTTTCACTCAAGAAATAAAACTAAGGCAGGGTCCCGGGGATCCCTGAGTCCTTGTCCTGGAGAGCCCCAATCTGTTTAGTCTTACAGGAACCCATTAATTAGGTGCTTCCAACCGTGGCCCTGTAGAGCCCCAATTACGTTAGTCTTATAGGACACCTGTTTTGAAAGATTGGCAACAGCTGTCAACTGTTCATGAATCAAGTAAGTAATCTTTTTGATTAAGAGAAATCTAGTCCTTGAGGGCTTTGGATATTTAAATAATATTTATATGTATAATATATGTATTCCTATCTAAAATTTATGTAAGAGTACTTCAGATATTAGTCCTTAATAATGATCTGTAAATTACATAATTTAACAAATAACCAGTTTAATCGATCAGAACCGTTCTATATCTTTAGAAATTGGTGATTTAATGGTGAGCTACAGGCCCTCTTGGTCTGGGACTCTCCAGATCTGGGTGCTTGGAGATCCCTGCACTAAAATAGCAGTGTTCAGTTGGCATGCTGTTGCTCCCACCAGTGCTCAGAGGTATTGTAATATCGGGACTTCTCTTCCCAGGTAAGCCATGCCAGTGCCAACAGTGTTCTCCTGGCGTCCAGTGGCTCTCACTTCCACAACAGCAGCAAGAAGCTCCCTGTGGACCCCGCCAGTGGAAACTCAGGTGAGGAGCCAAGAGCAGTTCTTCACCGGTCCCGTGCTGAGAGTCAAGGAGTTTGTCACCTATAAGACTGAAGAGAGAGCTCCTAGAAATGTCACACTGCACAGTTGTTTTTTTAAAGACTTCTTTAGTCTTGATAATATAATTGAGAGCATTATGTAGAAAAATGTAAGGTCACTCACACTAGGTGGTGCTGTGCCCTTTTTGTACAGTAGTAGCCAGTTCTCTTTGCTGACTGAATAAGCTGTGCACAAACACGCTAAGTACAAAACATGTGTGTCTTGGAATGTCCTTTTTCAGACATTTTGCTTCTGCAATGTGTTTCAGAGTCACTGTTTTGAGCTTTGACTGGCTAAAATAAATTATTAGAAAACAGATCATTATAATTCATTACAGTTTTTAGTGCCTCCTATCTCATAATTTCTCTGTACTCTTGATAGATGCAGGTTGTGCTTAACACCTTGGCTACGCCTATCAGCTGACATTTTCCCTCACGTGGGGTAGCAGAGCCCTCTGCTGGTCAGAGAGGCCTATGACATGTGTCTGTATGTAAAGCTGAAGACTGTCAACCTTCAGATGGTGAATTTCCTCCCAGGCAGCAGTGTTGCCTGTCCTTACACTTAGCTAGTGCTTTTCTGGACACTCCACTCAAAGCGCTTTACAGGTAATGGGGACTCCCCTCCACCACCACCAATGTGCAGCCCCACCTGGATGATGCGACGGCAGCCATTGTGCTCACAGTATGCTCATCACACATCAGCTATCAGTGTGGAGGAGTACAGAGTGATGAAGCCGATTGATAGATGGGGATTTTTAGGAGGCAGTGATAGGTAAGGGCCAATGGTAAATTTGGCCAGAACAGTGGGGTAACACCTCTACTCTTTTCGAGAAACACCCTGGGATTTTTAATGACCACAGAGTGTCAGGACCTCGATTTTATGTCTCATCAGAAGGATGCCGCCTTTTTACAGTATAGAGTCCCCGTCACTATACTGGGGCATTTGGACCCACACAGACCACAGGATGAGCGCCCCCTACTGGCCCCTCTAACGCCTCTTCCAGCACCAAACCTTAGCTTTCCCAGGAGGTCTCCCATCCAGGTACTGACCAGGCTCACACTGCTGAGCTTCAGTTGGTCGCCAGCAGTGAGTTGCAGGGTGATATGGTATGAAGAGTATCTGTCCCTCTTCAAATCTGAAAGTTAAAACAAAATTTTTATTTTTAAATAATTTTGAATTTTTATTGAATTTTCACCTCTTAGTGTTTCGGGATAGGATTGCGATAGGAGGTATGGTTGCAATACATTCTAAAAGAAGCATCTTTCTTCTTTCTCCATAAACATTTGCTTAACTGCAAACAATCCTGATACCTGTTGGAGCGCAACACTTCATAAATGAATAATAAATAAGAAGAAGAATTTGTAAAGCAGATCTCTCCGTTGACATTTGAGCTTCGCTGGTGCTTTTCCGTTGGATCCCAGAGAGCTCGATTGACGTGTTCCTGTTTCCCCTCAGGAGCAGAGCCTGGCTTGCGAACAGTGGAGGTCATTCGGGTAAGGAAGTCCAAAGAGTCAGCCTAGAAACGAGAGTCTCATTGGGAATGTAACCCTTTAGAGCCCCTGCAGCTCTTGAGAATCCTGTCCTGATAGTAGCATGGAGGTGATTTTGCAATTTGGGCAAAGGGTGGCACGTTTTTTTCAGTTCACTGAAAATCTACAGCAAAACATATAAATATATATGAAAACTTATATACAGTGATGCATATACATGTGTGTATAAACATATGGTTTCCATATTTAAGTGATGAAATGATTAGTGCAGTGTGCAGTGCTCCACACTCCTCGTTCTCGTTTCCGTCCAGTTCTCTATGACGTGATGTCCTGGGAATTCTGTGAAAGGTGGTCTAGGTGGTGATTTCTTACGGGCACATGCAATCACATTGTTTAAGGTTTTACAGCAACACCCCTCTCTCTCCCACCATGCACACAAAATAGACCCAAACACCACCACTTTAGCATCAATTTTATTTATTATTTTGTTTTCTGTTCATGTCCTGTATCACTTTCACGCTCCTTCACTCTTTTCCTCCATGAGAATAAACTAAGGGTGATGGAATCTCAGCAGGCACTTCAGGGACAGCCGTACACAAATGGGTGACTCCTATGTCCGCTGGTGTTACATTTAGTATCTGGGACAAGGTGCTATTCTGGGGGCAGGATTCTTATTTTTAGCTCTCTGGAGAAGTTGAGATTTGTCCCAAATGTTCTCCCTCTTGGCTGGGTACAGATGTCCTTGCATGTATTGTATACTCCCTGACAATAGCCCTCAGTGTCCTCTGGACTCTCAACTCGTGTCCACTAGGGGTCCACTGTGCCCTGACCTAAGAAACACCTTTTAATGCTGCGTGTAATTGTGGTTTTGTTTTTTTAAAAGTGCCAGAAATATTCTTGATCCTTATCTTTGTGTTTTCTGGGGTTTGTCATTCCTGCAGGGCCCTACAGATGCGCTGGGAATCAGCATTGCGGGGGGCAAGGGCAGCCCCTTGGGTGACATTCCCATCTTCATCGCCATGATCCAGGCCAGTGGGGTGGTGGCACGCACACACAGACTCAAGGTATCTTCCGTCCCCTAACGTCAGAGCTGCTCCTCCAGGCTGTGCTGTGCCCTGTGAGACCCCAGGTTAGAGCTCCCTGTTGGGCTCTCAGGCACCTCTGAGTGCCCAACCTGCGCAGCTCTGTTGAGAGTAATGCCAGTATCTGAACCCTTTTAGAGGAGTCCATGGGGTGTCTCCGCGTACTGCTGAAAGGCTGCTCGCACATTCATTTTCCTCCCAAATTTCATTGACAATGTTCACTTTTGCTTTTTAAATAATGTCAAAATTCCTAGGCCATTATGTGGCCATTTTTCCCCACTGGAAATTCAAATATTTGTGCTCCACTGACTATGCTCTATGGTGTGTATAATTTTAGATTCATTGTGCCAGTTCTCTGGGTTTCAAAGGCACAATGAATGAACTTAAATAACTAGACCCTGAACACAGTAGGGAGGTATATGGATAAGTGGCTAAAGAAGACACTTGCTGGGGGAAGAGTTTCACTGTCACCCCAAGTGAATACATCAGCCTGTTAGCATCACAGCTTCCTCCTACATATGAAAAAAAAATCCAGAATTTTCATCCAGATTCACAGTAAATCTTTGTAATTTACAGATTTATGGACACCTTTGCTAATTGTACATTTGTGGACAGTTGTCAAACCTGGTTATAGCATACCTGAAATGCTCGGAACAGAAAAGGATGAGTCCTCTTCAGTCACCCTTTTCTCATTCCGTTAATTACCTCTGTATCTCATATATTATTATAATATATGAGATATATGTATTGTAATATATATATATATTATATTACATTAACCTCTTTCCCTCCTTGCCCTCACCCTCAATTCTCTTCTCACTTCATTCTTTCTTCCTCTCTCTCGTCCCCTCTCTCCCTCAAGGTGGGGGACCGGATTGTAAGTATTAACGGGCAGTCTCTGGATGGCCTGGCTCATGGAGAGGTGGTTAATCTTTTGAAGAATGCCTTTGGCAGCATCTCCCTGCAGGTATGTAGATAAGGGGCTCCAACGGTATAGCTCCAGATAATACAGCCTGCAGTCACATTGGGAGTGACAGAAGGGACACTGAAAGACACACACTGTCACTAAAGCACACTTACACACACTCACTGACACTGTGGTACACTGACACACATAAGATCACTTTATTGGCCATATACAATTTCTTGTATTAAGAATTTGTCTTTTCACATACCCCAACTTGCTCTCCATGAGACACACAGACATGGAGAGAAGCTCCCTGTGATTTATATGGCACCCTTGGAGAAGTTGGGGTTAAGGACCTTGCTCAGGGGCCCAACAGAGTAGGATTCCTCTCCCGGCCGCGGGATTCGAACCGGTAACCTTCCAGCCACAGGCGCAGATCCTTAGCCACAGGGCCACTGCTCCGCCCCATCCAAACATCCATGGATCCTGAAGAACACTGACATCCACTCGTTGACACTGAAGCACAATGATACACACTGTTTCTTAGGCACACTGACACACACTTATTGCCACCGAGTCACACTGACACACACATTCATTGACACCAAGGTACGATGATACACTGGCATGACTGTCACTGATATAGACAGTTGTAGGTGTGTTTTTTTAATTGAATTTAGTTCAATCTCACCCAAAATGTAACCATGTCCTTCCACAATAATGTCAAGTCCCATTCAAGCCCCAATTCAAATGTTATTTCTTTGATGTAAAGTCGTAGGCATGAGTAGTGTTGTTAGCTTTAAATAGGATCAAAATGGGTGGCTTCAATGTTATGAGTGTCTCCAGAGTGGAACTGGGATGTTTCAAGGAAAATTAGATGCAGTCGGGGGCTGTTCCTCAAGCAGTGATACACAACTGGCCAACATTGTATCCAAGAGGGACACACATACCGACAGTGTTTGACAAGAAGCACAAGGTGTCAGAGAGGGATTCACAACCCCATCACAGAAACACGAGCAGCAGTAGAAACTGATACGGAGAAACTGGCATGAACACGGACAGATACAAAGACGCAACTGAAGATAAAGAGCTTCCCAATCGAAAAAAAACTGAGGGCCACGCCTTCTTCCTCACAGAAGGAGAGAGAAAGCATGGTGACAGGAAGGGAGAGCTCCTTATCAGGCGAGGGTTTGAAGGCCCTGTGCAGATTCCATCGTTCACCTTTAGTGAATAAACGTCAGCTTTGAAAAAAATAGAACTGCAGAGCAGAAGGAGAACTTGCAAAATAAAAATTCCTCACCTTCATGTTCGCTCCTCCAGGAATCACTGTGGTCTGTACAAGTATGGTTCACATATCCCATTGGGAAAAATCGTACTGGGCCAGCAACCCCCCCTCAACACTGTGTGTTTTCTTTCCTCCATTTGCAAATGATGACAAGTAAAATTCACACCATGTCAGCTGGAGGGTCTTATGGGTGTTGAAAGTATCACCCCCCACCACCACCCCACGGACAATTGAAATCATTTTCATGCATTGATGAAATGGGTTTTTCCCCATGATTCACAGAACATATACGACAATTTCAAGGGCAAAAATATTGTTATTGTATAACAAAAGTAAAAAAATGCATAAGAAAAATGAAAAACTGAAAATATATTGTTTACTGACGCATTCACTATCTTGATTCAAAACTGTGGAAGCACCTTTTGAAACAATTACAGTTTTGAGTCTTCTTTGGTATGTCTGTATCAGCTTTAGACATCTCAATTTGGGGGTATTCAACCATTCTTCCTTGCAGATTTTCTCAGGCTCTGTTGGACAGAGGAGTCAGTGAACAGTGATTTTTAAGGGGATTCAAGTCTGGCCTTTGACTGGGCCACTCAAACGACATTCAGCTTCTTGGTCCAATGCCATTCCAGTATTACTTTGGCTGTATGCTTGAGGTCATTTTCCTCTTCAAACATGAATCTTCACCCCAGTCTAAGGTCCTTTATTGACTGAGGCAGGCTCTCCGTAAGGATTTGCTTGTATTGGAATTATTGTTCACTCTATCCTGACAAATGTCTCAGTCCCTGCAGCTGAAAAGCACCCCCAAAAAGACGATCCTTCTGCTACCATACTTCATGGAAGGGATAGTGTTACATGGGTGATGTGGAAGCTGTGTCAATGAGGGACATAGACAGGTTCATTTCTTCTGAAATCAAGTCATCCAACTGAACTGGCCATACATGGACTCCATTCGAGTTTTAGAGTAATTTCACAAGAAAATTCGACAGAGGCTTACTTCAGAATGTTATAGTAAAGGAAGTGAATTCCAATACCAATTCTTCCCTTTAAAAGCTTTGCAGGATATTTTTGTATCCCAGTCTCCCCCACTTTCTGGTTTTGCATCAGTGGGTTTGACTAAACCACACTTATGTCTGTCTTTTTTAGCTTCGAGCAAATCCATTCAATTGAGGTTTGAAGGTGAACATTATTTTCATTTTTCTAAAAAAGCTACTGCTAATTAGCATCATTCAGGATTACCATTATGTAAATTATACAACAATTGCGATTGACCTTAAGTGGGTTTGAATCATCGCTTTTCCAAGATACTGCCTTCAGAGAAAAGCAATACACAGAACGAGAGACTTTATCTCCTTCTGAAGTATATTCACTGGTTCAGTACTGGTTCCTAAATAGAGACACGATACATTTTTATCCAACAAAAATTTTAAGCATTTTCATGGATATATATGATTCATAAATAAAGTTCAGTCTTCAGGCAGCAAAAGTTATATGAAGGTTTCCAGTTCAAACTCTAGCTCTGGCACTTTCTTTGTCACTTTGAGTGAATTACTGACCTTTCTTCTGCTCCATCCCCTGGAAGAGATGTACAGTAGGCTGAAGATCTTTTGTCAATGACTGTGCAACACAAGGTGCTTGTCCAGTGCTCATCTCGTGTCCTCTGGAAGTCAGCATGGCTACAAGGGTCTGCTAGAGCCGTGCTTTAATGCCCAAACTTTCAGCTCATGGTCCCTCATGATGGTAAAATGTAAACATGCTCCAGCAGTAGTCCTTCAAAAATAACATTTACTTTTTAAGAAGCAGGCAGTTGTAACTTGTACCGATCCCATGAAGCTTAAACCAATTCAGAAGCTACAGAAATGCACGGTGTGGAAAATGGAGACTACAGAAAAAATGTCCACATTGGACATGGTAAAAGAATGTCCTAAGATGTGTGTTTGCTGAGTTTCTCCAGGTCTTTTGCCATCAATTATTCTGGTTTTGGATGGTTGTTAGGCGGCACTTCTGTATGTGAATAAACCCAGTGACTCTTGGAACTCTCTTTCCTGAAAGTGTTATTCCTACATGACCAAGTGTCAGTTTTGCACAGGCATTTATACTGTAATGGGTGATTGAGGCTCTCTCCCTTTTTGTAACTTAGACTGAAAATGTCTTCAAAAATCTTTCTTGCCCGCTTTTTTGTGAATTTCATTTTTATACTTCTAATTAAATGGGACACTTCTTAAAGTTAGTGCTGTTTTATTTGAGCAATTTCAAACCCTAGGAATGTTTGTTATGCTGTGGTGGAAGGCATGTTTCTGGGAGGAGGGCGGGAGGGAATTTGAATCTGTTTTAAAGAAGAGCAATACACATAATCTAGGTAACCCCTAAGACCAGAGGGGAGGTCTTATGTCTAGGGACTTCAACAAGTATTAGTGCTTGAAGGAAGAGGTACGACTTTGAATACCTTCTTTAATTCATCGCACAAACAAGCATTCCTCCAGCCCCCATGTGTATAGCCACACACACAGTCTCCTTTCCGCCACCTCTCCTGAATCCCAGTGACAACTGATGTGTGCCTGTGGAGATACAGCCTAGTTGGTTGGTGCTGTGTCACTGGGTAATGCTGTACTCTGGTATTATCAGCTCTGTGCAGCTGGATGACTGCTCAGTGGGCCCAGCATGATAATTTCAGGCCTTTATGCAAATTGCCCATTATCAGCCAGTCTCCAGGAGGAACTTATAGGGCTTTATAAAAATGGGAGCTGCCTGTGAGCTACTGATTAGAGAGCCCAGGGGGGCAATTACTGTCCGTCTCCCCCTACACACACAGACACACGCATAATACTGTACTGTACAAACACAGCCCTCTCCATCTCTCTCCCTCTCTCAACTCTGCAGCTCCTAAACACTTTTTTTCCGTTTTTTAGAGCCGTTTGTTCAGCAGGTGTGTTACAGAGATAAGGAAAAGAACTAGTCGGATGCGTTTGACTGGCTTGTTTACAAACCAGCTACCAATTCATTAATAGGGCTTTGTTTGTTGTTGTGTTTTTGATGGTCTCGGTTAATTATATATGCTGATGAGCTTCGCCGCACAAAGTGTGCACTCGCGCGGTTGGCAACGAGTTCCATCAAAGCAAAAGTAGCAACAGACCGGCTACAGAGTAAAGACAGAAAAAATGAAATTTAAATCAGTCGCTTCTGGAAGTTTTCAAGGATCTGAGGCAGTTTGCGGCCGGATGAAAGAGTCCTCCTTTAAGAAATTGATTTCAGACCTCCTCTACCATCTTCAAAAATGTGTCTCCTCTGCAGATGCCCTCTTAATTCCCAGAGGTTGAAATAAAAATACAAAGAATATTCACCTGGATTTTGGTTGCTCTGTTGTGGGTCAGTGGATTCCGGTGTATTTGCAGAGCTGGAACGAAGTCCTCAGTAACGGGCACTCTACCATCTTGCCCATTAATACATCATAAATTCATGTACACCTTTTGTTACTGTAAGACTTCTAATTCCATCGTCAACAGTTCTTTGAATTTCCTGACACATATTCTTCCAGCAAAAATTCCGGTCTCTCACTTGACAGTGCAGGCCACAGCAGAAGAAATACCAATCAGAAGGTACTGTAGCCATTTAATTCAAACTTAAAGTGAGTAATTGTGCCCAAGAGTACATTCTCTCCAGCAGCCACTGGGTATACCGATCTCAACACCATGTCTCCTTAGATAACAGTTTGTTCAGGGCGTTCTCTGCAAGAAACATCAAGCTTTTCACCCCAGGACTGGAGGGGTGTAAAATCCCGCACTCTTTCACAGTGCTCAGCCTTGTTTCACCGATATTTCCAGTCATATTTCTATTTCTAATAATAATAACTAGGCTGCGCGTTAGGAGTTGCTCTCATCTGGTTGGGGAGCCCCTCTGTGCCAGTGCCGGCCTCCTGCTTCCTGCAGGGGAGTGATGTGGTTCCCACTGTCTCGCGGGGCTCACTGCCTGTGTCTGTGTGCTCGCAGGTGGTGGCCGACACCAACATCAGTGCCATAGCCAGCCAGCTGGAGAGCATGTCCGCCAGCTCGGCCCTGACCAGCGCCTCTGAAGTCCCGAGCGAGGAGCCAGAGTGAGTGCCAGGCCTGCCCGTGGCTGCCAGCGCTCGGAAGAGGAAAACATGCAGGGATCTGGCATGCGATTGAGTGGGAGATCACTGTCCAAATGACTTCATTCGTGACCTAGTTTCTTTGGATTGGTTCACAAATATTAATTGCCAAACTGTTAGGTGCATGAAGATATCACTTTAAAGCTTGTTTAGTCATCCCCTAGTTCCCAACTAAACATTCAGGAATAAGCAAAGAAACAACTGAGAGAATGTTAACTAAATTTGCCTTAAAGGGGGCTGTTTAAACAGGCAGGAGGCAGTAATGAAAAAGGTGAAGGAGTGTGGTCAGGATGTGGACAGGTATAATGAGTTTTTTTTTCTGAACAACACTATCTACACTTTAAGCTATTTACCAGTGATATTGATCTCACTCACTAGCTATATCTGCTACTTTATTCCCTGAATGGGTGGTGGATTAAAAGACCAGGTGTCACAGTAGTTGGTGATGACACTTTTTTAGAAGTTCTTTTTTCCTGGAGATGTAAGCTATATGCACATAGCACTAAACCGTTTTTAAAGACTTTTGGAATTAGCGGTTATGTTTGCAGTCGAGTCGAGTCCTTGTTGTTGATTTGTGTTCCAGGCCCAAGGTAGGGTGACGTGTCTTGCGGAGCTGACAAGTGCTCTGAGAAGGAGCTACATAGAAATAAAGTAGAATGACTGTTTGACTGGTTGGGTGACTGGCTCTGTTCTCTGTTCTGCTCCCCCTGCCAGACCTCCTCAGCCTAAAACCATCACTCTGGAGAAGGGGTCAGAGGGCCTGGGCTTCAGCATCGTGGGGGGGTACGGGAGCCCCCATGGAGACCTGCCCATTTACGTCAAGACTGTATTCAGCAAGGTGAGTCTCGTGATTCCTCGGGACATGGGGTGTCCCTGCTCATGCACC